CGATCCTGATCTCCAGTGTTACATCGAGACAGACGCTTCAAATTGCGCGATCGCAGCGATCGCCAGTCAACGATTTCCAAAAGGGGACGATTCGGAAGTTCGTCCGACAGGATTCTTTTCGCGAAGCTTGCAACCGGCAGAAGCAAATTACCCAGTACACGACAAGGAATTGCTAGCAGTAATCGAGGCGTTCAAACACTGGAAAGCCAACTTGATCGGTATGGTTCACCCGATTATCGTCTTGACCGATCACAAAAACTTGGAGTACTTTATGAGCGGCAAGCCTTTGGTACAACGGCAAGGACGATGGGCAGCTTTTCTATCGGACTTCAACTTCAAAATCCGATATCGTCCAGGAGAAAAAGGAGAGAAACCGGATGCCTTGACTCGAAGGAGCGATTACCACCCAGGAAAGGGCAGCAGTAAGACGAAATGGGATTTGAACCCCACGGTTTTATTGCCCGAGGCACTTTTCGAGAATTTCCAGACAGCAGCTTTACGAGGAGGGAACAGGATACGAATCGATACTCAATTGACGACTATCGACTCTTGGATACGGACGGAACTGGAGAAGGACACCATCCGAGAAGAAGGGCTCCGCGTACAAGTAGGAAAGGACAACGAGACAGATGACGAATCGCCTATCGATGAGCAGAATCCTTGGTCATGGACAATCAGCGGATTGTTGCTACACCAAGGGCGAGTAGTGGTTCCGAGTAGCCAAGAGCTAAAGAACCATATTTGCAAGAGCAGACACGATTCGTTGGTAGCCGGACATCCAGGAGCTACCAAAACAATTGCGCTCATCAAACGCGATTATTACTGGCCTAAAATGGATTCGGATATCAAGTTGTACGTTTCCGAATGCCCCGATTGTCAACGAAACAAACCGAGAAGGCACAGGCCTTACGGAGAACTGAAATCTCTGGATATTCCGAATGGGCCATGGGAGGATATTTCCATGGATTTCGTGGTTGGTTTTCCCAAAATTGGGAAAATGGATGCGATTTGGAACATCGTCGATCGGTTCACGAAGCAGGCACATTTCGTACCGATACCTACGACGATTACGGCGCGAGGATTAGCAGGGCTATTCAAGACGCACATCTTCCGGGTACACGGAATTCCCAGAAGCATTTTGTCGGATAGAGATTCGAAATTCACGTCGAAATTCTGGGAGGAATTTTGTGAATTGTTGGGCATCGAACGCAAAATGAGTACCGCATTTCATCCTCAAACAGATGGGCAGACGGAAAGGACGAATCAAGTACTTGAGCATTACCTTCGCCAGTACTGCAACTACAATCAGGACGATTGGGAGGCACTGCTTCCTCTGGCGGAATTTTGCTACAACAACAATGTTCACGAATCGACTGGGACGACTCCTTTCTTTGCAAATTACGGATATCATCCCCGATTCGACATTGAATGCCCCGAGGAGTCAATGCAACGTACTTTTGCAACCACCGATACTGAAGAGTTGAAAAAGGTGCACGATCAGTTGAAAGGAATGGTAGCCGAGAGTCAAAAGCGGGCAGCCAAATATTTCAATGCGAAACACGATTCTCCTCCTGAATTTCACGTGGGCGACAAAGTCTTGGTGCGTTCGGAGAACATCAAGACCAAGAGACCGCTCAAGAAACTCGATGACAAGTTCTATGGTCCATGGAGAATCAAAGAAAGAATCTCTACTCATGCCTATCGAGTGGCGTTGCCAGCGAGTTTGCGAGTGCATAACGTTTTTCACGTTGACAGGTTGGAATTGTTCCGCGGGAATCGAGAAACAAACCACAACGAACCTGAATCCGACGATCAGTTTGTGGTAGAGGCGATTATCGATTCACGCAAGACGAAAGATGGCAAAATCCAGTATCACGTCAAATGGGAAGGTTACCACGGCCCTGAAGCGACAACATGGGAACCAAGCGAACATCTCGAGACGGCAAGGGAACATGTTTCGGATTTTCACCAACGGTACCCAAAGAAACCAATCGATTTGAAGCAAGTCGATTCTGCCTGGGGTATCGGAAATTGAAGGCAGGAATACGAGTCACAAAAAGAAAGAAGCTGGTACGGTTTTTTATAAAAAACAAAAAAGAAAAAGAGGCCCGACGAAATACAAGAAAATTCCTGCACCACGCACTCCCGACCCAACCGATTCAAATACGAATCGCCCATGAAGGCCCCCACCGAGAACGACGGAGACCTTCACGCCTCTTTTCCGAACGAATCGCTAAACGCCTAGGCGAGCGAGTTCTCGACGACGTTGGTGAACTCGTCGAGCTTGGCGAAGACGGCGGTGTTGTCGGATTGACGAGCAAGAGCCTTCTTGCTGATCACGTCCTTCAAGAGGTCCTGCGAACGAGAGAAAGACGAATCAACAACCGTCAGACGCGAGATACGAATCGGGATTCGACTGACCATAACGGAATCGACCTCCATGCCCTCGAAGTTCATGTGAAGGAACTGCGACTCAGCGGTACGGGCGGCGGTGACCAAAGGATCCTCGTCATCGTTCTCGTCCTCGGACTCTTGGTCGATCACGATGCTACAATGAAAAGAGGAGTCAAAGGAATGTTGGCAAGGTTAGAAAAGATATTCGACAAACGGAGGCGGACTAGGGTTAGACGAAAATGGGTTGGCGAAACGGGAATAGCAAACGAAAGGAGAATCGACTTACGCGTTGATCAAGGAGCACTTCACGTTGAACATCGCACAAGTTCCGCAGCCCCGGGGGGTCCCTTGCTTCTCGTTGAACTTCGAGATGCACTCCCAGGGTGGGGCGTTGGTGCCGTTGCGCTTGACCATGCATTGGGCACAGACCCGGGCGTTCTCCTCACCCGAGGCGTTGATCTCGCGACCCCTCTTGATGTTCTGGACCTGCGAGGAGAGAAACGGGATTCAACAAACGTCCAAATGAAGCACGAATCGACAAAGGATGGGACGAAAAACGGATCGAGAATAGACAAAGGGACTTACCGCCTTCTTCCTGCGGTTGAACTCCTCGGGGAGGGCGGGTTCGCCGTGGTAGGTGTGGAAGTTCTCGATCTCCTTGGCGAACTTGGTGAGGGCGGAGATTCCGGAACCCGAGGACGAACCGGTAGGGGAGGCGGGGCCGCCGAAACGACCTCCCTTGGAGGGAGAGGTCGAAGGGGACTTGGACGAATTCTTGAGAGTCTTTTTGGGAGTAGTGAACCCCATCTTGACAAGAAGTTTGCGATGGAGAAAAGAGAAGTAGTTGAAGGACGAAAAGAGAATCGATTTTCGTTTTGCGATCAACGACTTATATCTCTGGCAAACTGGAAGGACGATTCGCTGGCCAAGGGGAAAAAACGAATCGTGTTTGTTTACATCGTCATTCAACAACGTCATAGACCCAGTCGCACCCCCGAAACGCCAGCGACCACGGCCATCGTACGATACGATATGCCCGGAGCGGATAAGCGAGTGGTGGATCGACTCAAAGGACGTTTCACGAATCGTCAAAGGAGGTACAACAGTGAAGATAGATCATCATCGAACCAGTATCCACCTGCCCTGAAAGAACAGTCCAGAACTCTAGGCATTTCGGAGAGAGGGATCACGATCAGGTACTCAACATCTCGCCTAACCGTGAACCTTGATGAGATTAGATTCTTCATCAAACAAGGAGTATCGGTCGACGGTTGTCGCTCAAACAAGGTGCAACAGCGCAGATTGAGGAGAGGGGGGTTAACGAGGAGATACGGAAGAGCAACAGGCGACGACAAGAGGAATCGAGGACGATTCCACGGAGGGGGAGATACTGTCACGAACCTAGTAACACCCGACGACAAGGTATCACGAAACACGATTCGACATCGGATCCGTCTACAACCAGCCTTTGACACGTCATGGAGGTTATCACGCGCGACGAATCACGAAACACGAATCGACAAGCGCGCGCGCGCTTCAGCATCCGTCATCTCGTTCATCCCGACACTTGACACGTCATGCGATTCACAAATCGACCTTGTCAAGTTATTCGAGGTAACCGACCTCACCGGAGGTGACAGGTACAAGGACGAAATCAAGAACGATACGTTGGGGAAACCGACATCGAAGGAACGGACGTCTGCCTACACAAAAGACGAAACGACCTTAGACAGGGACGGGAAGTAATTACAAGGTCCAACACAGGGACGGAAGACGGATCGACAATCGTCGATCAATAAAAGACAAAAGCAAAAACAAGGAACTATATCTGACTTAGACGATACGCCGGTGATTGAAAGACATTGAGGATCGACCACCGACGTTCTCCACCTTTGCCAAAACAACGGCGGACGATTCACCAAGATGAGAAGGACGTAGGACGACCTTAGCATTGAATCGGGTAATGTGACGGACCTTAGAGAACAAACGGGGACCTAGGTGAAGTCAACAGCAGGCGTGCTTTCCCTTTCCGGTTTACTCGAGTAAGGACGAAAGACGATTCGTTGGACGATCATTGGGGAAGCACGAAGGGAGAAACGAGCGCAGTACTTATAGCTCGATAGGATAGAAGAACGATAGCAGTTGTATCCTTTCGACTAGAAGTTCAAGCTCGTTATTACATTCGAATCTTAGCATACGCTAGACGAAGAGGTTACAAACAAAGACTACAGAACAACATTTTCCACCGCCTTACCCCTTATCGAGCACGCAGTGCACGGCTACTCGTTAAGTACACTTCCCTATTTCTTTACCCCTGCGTACGACGAAGTGGTATTGGTTCTTAGGTCGATACGTAGGACGAATCGACTATCGCGACTAGCTACCGCACAGAGACCTACACGAGTGACGATTATCGAATCGTAGTAACCACTCACACCAACCGGACGAATTACGATTGACGAATCGTTATTCAAGGATCTTAAGGCAACGGCTAAAGATCGACCAGCACCAAACGAAGCACGATTCTCGTCCTGAGAGCTCTGACTAGAAAATACATCCGATCAAGCAGACCTAACACCGAGGTTCTACCAAGTCGTAACACCGGGATGGTCGAGCGGGAGTTAGCGAGCAGGTTCGTCCGCCGAAATCCTTCCCTCTTTCACCCTATAGATACTGATACACAGATTCATGTTCGTACAGTCTCTCCCGCTCTTACTACCCGATCTGCTCGTGCTTGTCAACTGGGTAGAGGCTCAGCTCAAGGTCGAGACTGATGCTAAAGCTCGAACTGAGTGGTTATTTGCCCTCGCGTACATGTGTACTACATGGTACCTGTGGTGTCGAATGGACGAGGTACTCAGCCTACAATACCAGCACGTGTCAGACAATGCTACCGACCCTGGATATCCAGGTCAAATACTCAAGACGATCACTCTGACGTTCCGAAAGACGAATCAGGCTGATGCGAGGAAGGGTGAGTGAAAGAGCAAGCGTTTTCATTGAGCAGCATAACAGCTCCGTACTGATGTATACCTCGCCTTGTATCATTGCGGTATGCTTATGTTCTTGTGGGACCGTGCTTATAGGTCGTGTCTATCAGGTTCATGACCCCACCAATCCCGACGAGCGCCCTGTTGCCGTTTGGCACCACCTTCAAAACTGGGTGAAACACGTTCGAGCCTTCACCCACGTCGACGCCAAGCCCCACTTCTTTCTGTTTCCTGTTATCGACAAGTTCGGAGGGGTTGATATAGAGAAGAGGATGTCTGCAGCGACGTGGCAGTCCATGTTCGATAGAATCGTCCACGATTCAGGCCTTGGTGATAAGTATTCGAATGGAAACTTCACCGGTCACTGTATGCGACGAGGAGGGGCTCAGTGGCGGTTTGGCGAAGACCCAGCCGTCAAATGGGCTCTACAGGCTTCAATATGGTGGGGAGGGTGGGCTGAAGGCGAGGCTGTAAGTATCTTTCAAGCTGTAAGGTGAAGTCGAAGCTCGGGTGAACATGCTAACATTTTCACCGGACATCCGATCGTTGTTGTCTATCTTGGCTTCTTGTCTAGGTCGGTACGATTGGGCGCTATCTCTTGGAGGAACGTAATCAGCACGAGGCCTCGTACTCAGACCAGATGAATCCTGAGCGTAATCACGCTCGTCGAAGCATTCAGTCGTCCTCGACGGATTTGCAAATCGCCAAGACCGGTGATATAGCACAGCTCCGGGAGGAGATGAATCGACTTGCACGGGTCGTAGGACGTGAGATGGATGGCCTGCGAACAACATTGCGAGATCAGGAGCTAGACAGACCTGTAGAATCGATTCCGATGGTAAGTTCTCTGCTTTCGGTGATTAGGCAACTTATTTCACTGAACCGAGACCTTAACTGCTTTTCGACCTTAGGCGGGGATCCTGGGCCAAGTTGCTGATGCTGTCGTTGCCAGCCTCCTAGCCAAGGGTCTAGTGGGTCCTGCGACGATCTCTGCAGGTCCTGTGGTGCCAGCACAGGCGTCGACATCGAGCTCGAGTCGTCCGTTTGAATCGTCCGAACGTCGTGTCGAAAACATGCTAGCACCCGCTGCATCGCATGTGAACGCTCAGGGTGCAACTACTACGCCTTTCACCGAGCTACGACTCCGTCGTAGCGGTGAAATCATGGGAAATCGACCTCCGAAGATACCGAAGACGTCGACGGTGAAAGAAGCAGTAAAACAGTGGTTTCAAGCTGGTGGCCACGAATATCACTACTACGCCTTGCAGGACTGGCCGAAGCAGTGGTATTCAGGTGCCAAGGGTGGTGACATAGTCCATAAGTCGATTCAGGTCATCTACGGCCAGCGAAGTCGATTGGGGATGGCGTACTCCATGCTCAATGAAGGAGCGACGGATTTCACCGAAGAGGGCTGGGTAAGATTCGAGACGAAATATCCGGAGAAGAAGATGACGGACGTCCTCGAAGCAATCAGGAACGATCTTGCTGCATCGGGGAAGATCACTAATCGCCCAAATCGCAAGCAGAACACCGATAAGTAGTCGAACACACGCACTACGGCTACGTTCTCGGCTTTTGCCTTTTTTTCCCATATTTCTACTGTTCTTCGTGTTTTTTGGGTTCGATCATCTTTATACCACCGAAATACCTTTGTCTTTCACTCTGTATAGCTATATAACATGCACCGAGGCTGTATGTTTGATCTAGATCGATTCAATCGAGTTTGGGTGATTTTGAGAAAAAACCCTCGAAATCGACAAAAACGAGCAAAACGGTCGATGAACAATAAGGGATTTTCACCAAAATGATCGCCGTTTTTGCCTAGCATAGTCGAACGATTTCACCCAAGAACCTTCATCTACATCAACCACCTCGATATCGTTCTAAGTCTTAATATCAATACTAGATACTTCAAAACACCTCGTATCATTGCTCTAGACCTCCCTTACGCCTTACACGTTTCACCTCTGCCCAAACTAGTCTTTTTACTCCCGTTTCAAGCCATGTCGGACGCCCAAGGTTCTCAAAACGCCGTACGTCGAAACGTGACCTTCTTTCACCCGAATAAACGACTTACAAGCCTATAAACTGCTCATAGACCGCCTCATCCTCCTCTAGGCCCAAGCCTAAGCAGTGGGGAGGTGCAGAGGCTGCTGCTGCTCGGCATAGCAAGAGGTTGGCCGCTCAAGAAGAGGCTCGCGAGGCTCGCGAGAAGGCTGATCGCGAGAAGGCTGAGAACGCGGAGGCGGAGGCTGACCGCTGGGAGGAGCAGCAGAAGAAGAAGAGAGCTCGGGAGGACACAGACTCGGGCTCTGGTGACTCGGAGGACGAGTATGTCGAGGAGGGTGCGAAGAAGAAGAGGTCGAAGAGGGGGAAGAAGGCGTGAGTGAAATGTTGAGCTTTTGCACTGAGAAGCCTAACTCAGATCCTTTCGACCTCTTTACTCCTTCAATAATACGATAGCCCTACCCCTCTTCAAACTGTGGACGACGAGACCGATGGGGATGAGCTCGACGACGAGCAGGAGACCGAGGCTGCTGCTTCGGACCCCAATTTCTGTAAGGCCCGGGGGCGACCCCCGGCGGGGGTCCCCCTGGACAGGCTGATGGGACGCAGGAATGAGGCAAGGTACGGGTAGACATCTAAATGTAATAACGGATGTAGAGCTATTACAGAGGTACTAGTTCTACATCGAAACAACAACACCGAAAAGTACCCCCGACGGGAGTCGCATACGGGAGTCGCGTACGGCGCGTCCGACGCGTCACGTGATCGCTATAACAGGATCCCCCCCCTAGATGCGGGCTCCGAACGCATCAAGCGTCGGCGTACTCCTGTCGACCGGGCTGCGGTAGATGGGGGTAGCGCTTGTGGAACGCCGTGACGACCTTGTCGTCGTGGTCGAACTCGGCGGGGCTAACCCACTCGTTCGACTCGTCCCCGTACCCTTCGAACCGCACCAGGTATTGGGTCTTCTTCCCGGACCTTCCGGATCGTAACGCCTTCGAGTGTACGATCTCGGACACAACGTACCCCAAGTCGCCGTTGTCGAGGACTTCGGGGGTAGGTGGCTCAACCACCTCTCTTCCCTCCAGCTCGTTGGCCCGATAGGGGATAAGCAACGACACGTGGAAAACGGGATGTACCCTGCGTAATTGCGCGGGGAGCTCCAGCCTCCTCGCCATTTTGCTCTGGCCGACGATCTCCGTGATCGGGAAGGGCCCCAGCGTCTTCATCGAGAGCTTCTGGCTGGGGCGCACCGATGTCAAGTTCTTGGTGGATAACATCACCAAGTCTCCTACGTTGTAGCCCTCGTCAGGGACGGCGGTACGCTTCCGATTTGCGTACTTCGCCATGTCTTGTCGCGCTTGCTCCAGCGCCTCCTTCACCGACTTGTAGATCCCGTCGAGTCGGTCTCGGTACTCTCCCGCCGACTCGACCGCTTCCTCCCTAGTGCCGGGCACCGGTAGGGAGAAGGTATGTTCCCTTCCTTCGGACGCCATGAATGGCGACATCCCGATGGCAGAATGCTTCGCATTGTTGTACGCGAACTCCGCCATGGAGAGTAACTCCGCCCAGTCGTCCTGGAGGAAGTTGACGTACGACCGCAAGTATTGCTCCAAGGTGGAGTTACTTCGCTCGGTCTGACCGTCCGTCTCCGGATGGAACGCCGTGGAGTAGCTGTTCTCCACGTTCGCCATGCGGCACAGATCTTTCCAGAAGCGCGAGGTAAACAACGTACCTCGATCTGAAATGATCTGCTTCGGGAACCCATGCAAACACACCCATCGGTCAAGGAACAGCCGCGCCAAGAACGTGGCGTCGTTATCCTTTCGACAAGCGATAAAGTGCGCCCGCTTGCTGAATCGGTCGACGATCACCAGGATCGAGTTGGACCCCATCGACTCGGGCAGGTCCGTGATGTGATCCCAAGTGATCGACTCGTAGGGCCCTGCCGGTACCGGTAGCGGCGCTAGCTCGCCGACAGGCTTCATTCGGGGTCGCCGGTTGCGCTGGCATATACTGCAGCTAGCAACGTACTCCCCGATCCACTTCGCCATCCCAGGCCAGTAGAAGTCCCTACTGGTCAGCTCCACGGTCTTGTCCCGCCCCCAATGGCCGGCGGCCTTCCCGTCGTGTAGACGCTTCATCAGCTCTACCTTGATGTTCCCTGCGTTGGGGACATACACCAACCCGTTGTACAGGAGAACCCCAGTGGGGCTCAAGCTGTATCGCTCGTTCGCCAAGGTTCCCGCCTTGAGCTGCGCTACGAGCTCTTTCGCCACCGGGTCGTCCTGCGCCGCCGGTATCAGCGCTTTCACCATCCAATCGCCCAGTGCGGGGATGGTGCCATTCAACCGCAAAGGCGGTCGCTCAACCGGACTACACCCCTCAGAGGGTGCGTCTTCGACAGGCCGGAGCAGAGTCTCCGCTCGCTTCGGTTCTGTCTCCTTCATCAACTCTTCCCGCCGACTCAACGCGTCGGCCTTCCCGTTCTCCGTTCCCGGTTTGTACTCCAGGGTGTAGGAGATCTGGTTCAACAGCTGCGACCATCGCGCCTGCCGTTGAGACAATACCTTGTCCCTCTTGAAGTACTCCAAGTTCTTGTGATCCGTGAGGATCCGAACGGGGTACTTGTTGTCGAGATAATGTCGCCATATCCGACTGCAATAAACGATGGCCAACAGTTCCCTGTCGTGCACATCGTAGTTCCTCTCGGCGGGCGTCAGGCTCTTCGACATGAACGCTACCGGGTGGAGCTTCCCATCGTCCCCTACCTGGGACATTACCGCGCCGATCGCTCCAGAGGAAGCGTCGGTCTCGAGCACCACTTGGCGCTCCTCGTTGTAGTGCGCCAGTATAGGCGCCTGGGTGAAGGACTCCTTCAATTCCCGGAACGCAGCGTCAGCGGCTGCCGTCCAGGAGTACTTCACCCCTTTCTTCGTCAGGGCCGTCATTCCCTGAATCTTCTTGGAGTAGTTCTGAATGAATCTCCGATAATAGTTTGCAAATCCTAAGAAGGACTGCAGTCCCCGAATGTTCTTCGGGGGGGCCCAGTCCAAAACGGACTTGACCTTAGAGGGGTTCATACTAACCCCCGTCGGGGCAATATCGTACCCCAAGAATTCGGTAGCCACCGTATCGAACTCACACTTCTCCGCTTTCGCATACAGGCCATTTGCCTGCAGCCTCTTCATAACCTCCTTGACCTGACCATCGTGGGTCTCCTGGTCGGAGGAGTAAATAAGTATGTCGTCGAGGTAAACGACGACGCACACATCCAAAAGGTCCTGAAAGACCTCGTTCATCCACCGCTGAAAGGTAGCGGGGGCATTGGTCAAGCCGAACGGCATGACCAAGCATTCGAACAGACCGAAACGTGTAGTAAACGCGGTCTTCCAAATGTCTTCTTCTTTTACGCGTAGCAGGTTGTACGCGCCTCGGAGGTCCATCTTCGTGTAGACCTTCGCGCCCTTCAACCTGTCTAGCGTCTCTGAGATGAGGGGTAGGGGCGTCCTATCCTTCACCGTAATGTCATTAAGGCGACGGTAGTCGATGCACATACGCATCTCGCCGCCTCTCTTCGGTACAAACAGTACCGGGCTCGAGCAGGGCGACTTCGACGGCCTGATGAACCCCTTCTCCAGATTCTCCTTCAACCACTTCTTTAGCTCCTCACTCTCCCGCTGGGAGTGGTTATAGAGCTTCTGATACGTCGGCGACGTACCGGGTTTGAGTTCGATCGCATGGTCGATCGATCGCTTCGGGGGCAGTGTATCTGCCTTCGTCTTGGAGAACGCTCCAAGATGTTCATGATACTTCTCCGGTACCATGTCCCTCAGCTTCTCCATATACTCGGGAGGGTCCAGGTCATCCTGGAACGAGTCTGTAGGTTTGACGTCCCAATCCCACAGGTCCGGGCGCCTCGCCCGCTCGTCGTCCTCCCGGGTCATCTGCATTTGTGCGACGACCAAATCCTCCGTGATGGACCCCTTCATCTTCTTGAACGGGTCGATCCCTCGTGTCTCCACCTCTACTTCGTCCGGAGCATACACCGTCTCGGGCCTCTTGAGACATCCCGTGCTGATGCAGACATCCCCGAACGTCACCGCGTTGGAGTCCCATTGGATATGCGGATTGTGTCTCCGCAACCAAGGGATACCTAGTACGACCGGGTACCCACTCAAATCGGTGAGGTGGAACTCGGTCAGTTCCAGGTGCACTCCCGTACGTACCAGCGTACGAGCCTTCTGGGTGATCCTTCCTCCCTGGATCTCCCGACCATCGATCACCGTTACTACCCGCGGCGTCTCGAGGTCCGTTACGTCGAATCCATGTAGCGACGCGAATGTCCGATCCATGAACATCCCGGTCGCTCCCGAATCCAACAACATGAGTGCTTGGACCGGCACTCCTTCCGGGTAGAACACTCCTACCAACGTCAGATGGCTATCTGGACCGTTGGGTACTCCGCTTGCACCCAACTGCAAGGGGATCCGGCTACCTCCCTGTGCTCCCCCATTCGGGGTCCTTTGATGATCCGTTATTCTGTAAGGCCCGGGGGCGACCCCCGGCGGGGGTCCCCCTGGACAGGCTGACGGGACGCAGGAATGAGGCAAGGTACGGGTAGACATCTAAATGTAATAACGGATGTAGAGCTATTACAGAGGTACTAGTTCTACATCGAAACAACAACACCGAAAAGTACCCCCGACGGGAGTCGCATACGGGAGTCGCGTACGGCGCGTCCGACGCGTCACGTGATCGCTATAACAATTTCGCTGGAGACAAGCAGCGAGCCGTGTTGGGGGAATATCTCCCTCAATTTTGGAAATACCAGGCCGCCAGGAAGTACTGGACTCCCCAGCGAGTCTACGAGTACTGGATGGAGGCCAGGGAGATCGTTCGAGAGAAGAAGAAGGTGCCGGAGGGAGAGGAGGTGAAGGCGTCGGCTCATATTGAGGTGAGTAGTCTTGGTGAAATCTTTCCCTCTTTCACCGGAACGAACCGACATCTGATCGTGATCATTTCATGTCTTCTATTCGCTAGTCTGCTATGCATATCTACTTCGCCCCAAAGGGTAAGGTATGGACGGGTCGCAAACGTTGCACCTGCTGCCAGAACCTCCCCCTGAAGGCGAAGAGGAGGATCTCGAAGGATGTTCCCGGTATCATCCTGAAATGCAAGCAGATTTCACCGACGGGGAGGTGCGCTCAGTGCGCTATCGGGGGGAATAAGTGCTCGCTGCAGTCGGATGGTGACGAGTTGGTGAGGGTCAAGAAGGGTCTAGATGAGGAGCTGCCGTATGAGGAGACCGAGGCGCTAGCGGTGGCCCTCGAGACCTACTCGAAAAAGAAGGCGAGTCCGAAGGGGAACGTTTTCGTCGATAAAAATAGGATGAAGGACTTCGCCGAGCTAGCTAGATTTCTAGCTGATCACGTCGCAGAGCTCAAGGATGATCTGCAAGGGTTACCGGTGCGATACGACGAAGTCGACGAGATCGAGGTGCTCGACGTCGATGGTGATATCGTGGACTTCTCGTAGCTGTGTATCCTTGTATTCTATGTTCTTATACGGTAATATGCAGGTCTTTATAATGAAATACGTGCTTCTTACACCTAGTCTAATAACATACTGTAAGCTCAAAACGTTCACGTTGTTCAGTAAGAACTTACGTCGATTCGAACATAACTTTGACTGAAAATGCACATAATTGCACCCACAACGTATGTCTAAGTATGTCACTTGAATATGTTCTAGCCATCTTGTTCAAACGCTTCCAACTCAGAGTATGTTATATAAGGAGTATCAAAGATAGTGTATACAAGATTCGAGGAAGCTAGCACTGATGTAAGTCCTTCGTTTCACAAATTTGTTTCAAATCGAGCTCAGAATTGCTAGTCAAAACGAGGTCGTTTTGCGCTTAGAATTACGTGGAAATCATGACTAATTTCATCTGGGGCGGCGCCCTACGGGCGCGGGAGTATTCTAAGCGAGATAAAGTGATTTACAAACGAGATAAATCAAGATAAATTCGGCAAAAATAAAGACCTCGCAAAGTTGCCTGTTTGGGTGCAATTTACTTATTTTTCACTTTACGGAAATTCGATTTTTGCTACCGAAATCGACGATTGCCCGGGGCCTACAGCGTGTCGATTTATCGAGATAAATCCTTACGCATAAGGGAAGGGGAGCGTGGCCCGTTACAACCTGTGACTTGTGGAGAGGCAAAGCGATTGGGAAGGTTCGTTGTATCGCAATTCGGGGGGTGGGGTAGAGAACCACCTCGTGTATAGCTGCTAGCTGTCTGTATTCTGGGAGCAAGTTGCCCCGATAACTTGCCCTATGCGCCATTTCCGAACCGTCAAAACCCTTCGAGGCGGAAGACAAGACGCGCCATTCTCGCGCAGCCGTATGAAGCGAGAGCAGAACTAAGAAATGGCGCTGCTAGTTTCGGACGTGTTTCAGCTGATCCGGCAGGACCCTACAGATTCCGACATCGCTCTCGCATCACATCGACGGATACTATTACATTCAACATGGCCTGTTTACAAAAGTTAAAGACTACCGATTCACCCACTTGTATACATCATCGTCGAATTTTCCCGCTTGGCTTGATTTTTTAACATTTACAACTCCGACCTTTTTCGCAAAACCATGAAACTCTCAAAGTGAAACCCTCAAAAGGTATCCCGGTCACAAATGATGAGCGCCCCGCTCCGGCTTGTCCCTGGCCTCTTCGACCATCTCCTCGACGACCCTCCTCCCGATCCATTCCCCAAACGTCATCGTAGTGATCATCGGGTTCACCCCGCTCGCACTGGGAAAGACGCTGGCATCGGCCACATACAAGCCCTCGGTCCCCCAGACTTTTCCACGGGCGTTGACGACGCTCTTGCTAGCGACCGAACCCATCCGACAGGTACCCATCTGATGCGCCGACCCGTAGCCCGTCCGGTCGAGCTCGTTGCCATGAGCGTCGGTCGCACGGAGGAATTCGACAAAGGTCTCGTCGTCCGCCCAGCTTGATGTCGACGAGAGGTTGTTGGTGTCAGCCGAGCGGCGCCAGATCGGTCCTCCCGTCGTATTGGTACAGATCTCCAGGGCGCCCATCGTATAAAGCAACTTTGCCAGCGCCAAGTAACCTTGCATGATATGCCCCCTGTCCAACTTGCTAGGCTCGTAACTGATCTTCCTCTGACCCGTCTTGCCGTCCACCCAGATCTTCCCGGTAACCTTTTCCCGACAAAGCACGATATGCCCCATGGTATGCTTGAAACCCAAGAGTCGTTTACGGTAATCGGCAGCTCCGGACCAGGGTTGCCAGGCCATCCCAAAGGCGGGCATCATGTCCATGGCTTCGATCTTGACACCATGGGCGAGCCCGTCGAGGTTGTCGAATTCGGTGATGGCGGTGGTGAGGATCCCACCGTGGACGGGGTCTACCTCTTCGGCCCATCGAGAATGGACGATGAGGGTCGGGTGGAGGTGAAGGTTCTTGCCGATGTTGGGGTTCTGTCGGCGCAAAGCAAGAAGGTCAGTGGGTCGTCAGAGGCGATATGAGAGCAGCGAGCGAGACGGTAGGTACACACCTTGAGACCGCTCCGAAGGAGGATGACGGGGCTGTTCAGCGTTCCTGCGGAGACGACGGTCCGGTCGGCCAAGACCAACAGCCTCTCCTTGATCCCCGTCTCTGGGTCCTGCAACGTCCCTATTGCCCCGATCGCTCGACGATCCGTAGTGCCCGGGACTAGACCTAACAACCCGGACGCATCATTGGGCTCTGAGAAGACGATCCGATCGATCTCGAACCCATCCAACCCCTGTACGCGGATGATCGACCCAACACCCCCATCCCCTCCCCTCGAGGCTTTGAGACGAGGTTGGAGAAACACCCTACACCCGCTCATCTTGCCCTTTTTGCCCTCGCCGTCGAGGAAACCGCGACACCCGATCGTACAGTTGGCCCCGCACCGAGCGTGATCGGCAAACGAGCCCGAGATGTTTTGAGGGACGGACTTGCAGGCGTAGCCTAGTTGACGAGAACCTTCGAGGAGGGTCAGGTTGGCTGGGTTGTGGTCGGACCGTTGAGGGGTCTGGACGTTGAGGCTCCGTTCGACGCTGTCGCACGGCAAGTGGTCGCCAAGTGTCAGTGGTCAATCCTTGGACATGGTTTCCCGGGGTCGGTGTTGTCAGTGGGGCGACTCACACGTCCATACATTCCTGCCATTCTTTCCCCAAAAACAACCTCCCATGCGGATCCTTTGCCCCACCCTTCTTCCTCTTGCCGACATCGTCCAACAACCCCTTCGTCCACTCTTCCCTGACCTTCCTATCCGTCTGTAGACACGCACTCCAATTCACCCGACTGCCTCCACCCCAGGTCGATCCGGCGATGATCGAGATGGCGCTCTCTTCGCTGGCGACGACCCCGCCTCCTTCGTACAACCCGTCCAAACCTTGCGCTTCGGTCGTCCCAAGGGATTTTCCGGTAGGGTGGGGGAGGTAGGTGGAGCCCTTGTCCAGGACGAGGATTTCATGAGTCTGTCCCCCCTTGATGAGGTCCGGGTGAGAGGAGAGTCGGTTGGCGAACGAATTGACGAACGATGAACCTCCCGAGCCGGATCCTATGACGAGCGTTTGTGTGCGCAGGGTCTTCAGCGACTCGCCCTGGAACTCGCCCATCTCTGCCCGGCCCAACAACTCCCGCCTGGCTCGCAGGACCTGTTCGTCCCCCTCCCCCTCGGCTGCAGGCTTCGGACTCTCAGGCGTTTGATACCCGACCGCGCGATAGTATTCGGGACAAGACCTCAACCAGCAGAAACGTAGGGTGTGGGAGATTCCTCGGATACCAGTTCGGATGGGGGAGAGTTTCGAGTTGTACCACCCGAGGATGGTCTTTTCCTTGTCGGCGGGGGACATGGCATGGAGCGGGGTGAGGGTGCCATTGAGAAGGATGCCGCCGGGGGTAGATCTGCAAGTGTATAGACGCGAATATGACATCAGCCGAATGTGGCGAGGAATAGATCGTGTTCGAGCCCGCCCCGACTCACGTCCAGATGTTGAGCAATAGCCGAAGCTCGCCCAAAGCCCGCTCGGGCAATCGTCTCCCAAACACATCCGCGATCAGCGTCAAAAAGGTCGTATTCTCCGAGGGCAGACATTTGAGAAACGCCAAGATCTCGGCGTCGGTCGCAGGGTTCAAGGCGGCTCGTTTGTGTTCGACGAGGATCTTGGTGGCCTCTTCGTCGGTGAGTTTGGGGATGATGCCGTCGGCGATGGCGACGAGCGTGTCCCACTGGAGTTGGGTGAGGAATTCGGGGCGTTGGGGCGCCATGTTCGGGGTGTCACGTCGACGTGCGCGATGTATGGGCGTTGGGACCAATGTGGTGGTTTGGCGAGCAAGCGGTGTGTTCGAGTTTTATATATGCTGCCCCCCCCCCCCCCCGCAATTCCGGCTACTCGATCGCTACCCCACTTCTCGGCTATCTCCGTCGCAAACGACGATGTGGGGTAAAGAGACGAGGCGACGCGCGAGAAACACTAGCTATTACTACCGTTACCCGAGGCAGATGCGTGCTTTAATTTCTGAAACGTGATGACCCATTGCTCGGAACACGAGCGGCGACCGGCCTACTACGGGTCAGTCGATCGGTCTCGCGACCAAGACGGCTCGAACGTTGTCGTGAGAACGAGACTATTCTGTTGTTTCGCCACCCCTTGCGTGTGACAAGAATGTTGTGAAAAGTGCTGGTCGAGAGTACTGCGTGGGGTCTGTCCATTTGGGCCGAATTCACGCTTGCCGAGCGCTTTGACTGACCGATCCCTGGATCACATGTTCCGTTTGCGTCCCAACCACCCTGTTCCCTCTGCAACCATGCATGATATCACCAACTATGACTGTTATAGATGACATGGCATACACTAGACATCAACAGTTTCCAATCGATCGATCATTGACAACTGATATCAACAGTTTCCAATCCATCGATCATTGACAACTAATATCAACAGAATACACTCAAATAACATGGTGTATTTCACAAAGACATCGCACACACATCGGCTCCCTCTTAGCTCAGTTGGTAGAGCGCTACACTAGTATTAAACTAGAAGCACAACTGCGATATGTAGCGGTCAGCCGTTCGACTCGGCTAGCGGGAAATCAAGTTTTTGTGAACTCTTTTTGCCTCAGAACGCGTTCGGTGACCTGTCTCGCGCCTGGAAGATGCTCTCCATGGTCTTGTTCCGGCCGATTCGGTCTTTTTGCCTTCAAGGACTCTGGTCGAGGCCTGTCTCGGCAGGCTGATCACGGGCGCGAGGAGATCATGGCCCGCTCGCCTCGCCTCGCGTCTGTGTTCGATTCCGTCGGATTCAAGGTCGCTGCGGAAGACTCCAGACCGTGGCGGTCAGGTGTACTTTGAACCTGAACAATTCGCTCCTATGCAAGGTATCGTTCGTACGTCATGTGAGCGCCCTCGTACCCAAGTAGCTAGACAGAAAAGCCGCCGTCTGAATAACAAGGCCGAAAGTCCATTGCGCTCCGCGATTCTCGACTGACTCAATGTGCCACGCGCGCGCCAGTGCAAACATTCAGTATCAGATGAGGGGGTATACTGATGAATCACAATGAGACTTTATGGATCGTCTGTGCATGATGAAGGAGAAAATTCCCGGTCAAGCGCGATGATCAGCAAGGCGGGTTCCGAGACTACGGTCGATTGGGGACCCGCGACTGGGCCTTGTATGCGGGGTCACTTGCACATCGCGACAGGTTGATCCCTGACATAGGACCCGAGAAGAGCAGGATTAACAAGGGGTTGGCGAGCCACACAATCCGAACCCGAACCACATGTCTACGCGTCCGAGGATGAATCCGTAGCAGGTCAGTCGGCTACAAGAGTCATCGCGCATGCTATTCGGCCCACGTTGATTGCTCGAATGCAATCCAAACTCATCACCTTTCTCAAGCGATACTGCCAACATGATGGCGAAACGAGATCCGTGCAATAGGTTTAACGCGATGATCCGAGTTTCAAGCTCCAATCTTACGACCGGACCGAAAGCGGCAACCAACAACGCAAGGTTTCAGGCTCTTGCGACCAACGGACTGTCGCAGGCGCTGTAACCTGGACAACGATGCGCTCAGTTTCCGGTGCAGGGGAGGGGCAAACCGCAAATCTTCACCCTGAGAACCGCGACAACGCGACAATGAACAGGTCAGAGAGTAAAGACGAGCGGAGAAAGGAAGACGCCATGGATGACTCGTGGTCTGCGCCATATGCCATCTACACCTTAGGCAGAGTAGTCCGGAACTTGATATGGTGGATGATCCTTCGGCCAGCGATGTTGGTGGCATATGTTCACGTAGAAGGGTGCAAGCGTCAATGGACTATTGATTGACAACGTCGAGTCATGAAGATGAAACAACATGAGCGATAACGGGGAATCGATAGATGGGCCGCAAGCGAAGGCCATATCGACAACAAATTCAAGACGGGAAGGTTCCTGTCGGATTGAGTGCGGTACAGCAGTGACCCTATCAAGTGGCAATCGAACAATTTCGAGCGAGGGGGTCTTCAAATGCTCGAGAGACAGATAACTAAAGCCTGGGGCGATCACGTCGCGGCATCGAGACCGAGAGCGCTCTTCGAACTGACCGACACGTTCTTGGGTCTGTCGAGAAGTTATTGTGCTCGATGCTTCGCAAAGACTACCCGGCAGCGTTCCACCTCAGCTCGCTCATCGGATTCCGTCGAAGTCTGCGAAAAGCCACCGCCTGTACGCTTTCGCGGTAAAGCAGTGCTGGGATGGATGTCGTGTTCAATAAACAGCGATGAGATGGCAATACCCAAAGCCTTGCTCGTATTGCACCATTCGGATGTGGCTTTGTCTCCGAAGTTGGCAAGCGCTCGCAAGCCTCTGGTCCTTATCCGTTCGTATGATAGCACATGTGGGGCTTCTTCGACCTGGCTCAGCAATGCGATCAATCGCGAGACACAGGCTCTGCAGGAAAACGGATGCTCGGCAACAGCGATATAAGCCGATGAAGCGCCAAATCGAGTCTTGCTTTTTTGGATCATAATCATCTCGGCTTTAGATCAAACTTGGCGGAATACTAGCGGATCCTCGCCGAGTCTGGTACCCTAGACGACTGGCCATAATTCAGTGCACGCCCTGGCGGAACAATGCTTTGTAACGTCAAGCCAGCGTAAACATGCTCTTTGGGATCCCATGCGCTTGGTATCGACCTTCTCGTTCGCAGCCACTGAGCCTTCTCAGACGACCAACTTTCTTATTACAGCTGCACAGACTTTGTGGGGATTGACCGAAAGCGTTGTATGCTTGTGAGGTCACCGTGTCGGCCGCATATGGTCACACGGGAGGGATCCAGGTTTCGTCTCTGCAGCCAATAGTGAAAACCTCTATTCAAAGTTCGTAAATGCAGTACAGGGACGTGAACCCGTGTAGCCTCTACCAACTGAGCTAAGAGGGAGCCGATGTGTGTGCGATGTCTTTGTGAAATACACCATGTTATTTGAGTGTATTCTGTTGATATTAGTTGTCAATGATCGATGGATTGGAAACTGTTGATATCAGTTGTCAATGATCGATCGATTGGAAACTGTTGATGTCTAGTGTATGCCATGTCATCTATAACAGTCATAGTTGGTGATATCATGCATGGTAATCGATCATGCACCTCTCTATCTCGTACTGATTGATCACTACAGACCGATCGTAGCCATCCCCCGCATCCCTACCGTGCCCCCTTGTTCAGCCCAGACCTCCATCTGCCTCTCACGAGCCTCCGAACCCTCCCGAGCATCCTCCGACACCTCAGGAGCCGGCAAATATCGACCATAAAACGTGATCGGGTTGCCGTCAGCGTACATCGGACTAACAGCTCGGTACTCGTAGTGCCGTAGCGCCGCCGCGCCCTTCTTTGGATCCACACGCTGGCTGTCGCTCCGATCCAAATTTTCCTCGATCCACCTCCCCACGCACTCCATCAACAACAACGCCGTCAACGGCCCATGGACGACGATATTCGGATGACCCTCTACCTCCCTCGTCCAGATGGGATCGTAATGAATCTTATGCCCGTTGAACGTCAACGCGGAGAAACGGAACAAGTGAGAGGGCGTTGGGGTGTAGGTGAATCTGAATTGGAAGGTCCGGTCTGGGTTGGGCTGGGAAGGTGGAGGTGGTGACGAAGAAGAAGATGATGGAGGAGGTCGGGCTTCCGCTGTTATCGATGATGTGGATGGTGGTACAGCTCGTGCCCGTGCATTGAAATCCGTCTTCGAATTCGAATCCGCCTTTTCAACGGGCCGTCGGAAAACATGCACCCTCTTCTCGTTCACCAAGCCCTCTCTGGAATCTTCCCGCTTATAAACCTTTTCCTGATGTACGAACACCAAATCCTTCTTCGGCTTGTACTCGATCTTGCTTATCCGGGTAGTCTCCACCGAAGTATCCCCGATCGACAGGGGTTTTTGCGAGGTGGAGGTGGAGTGGGGGAAGGAGAACGAGCCTGATGCCCACATTCGGCGGGTGTAGGGTGGTGGGGCGTTGAACGACTAAAAATACGAGGTATCTCGTCAACCATGAGCAACCATGCCATCATACGACTTGGGGGAAGCCTCCGAGTATGAGACTCACTCTACTCGTCCCGTCCTCTCCCAAATCCTGTACGGACCCCATATCCCAATGATAACACAGCGTCCACCCTTTCCCCAGCTCTTCCCCCATCTCCGGCCGTCTTCCACCTTTTTCTCCAAATGCCTCTTCATGTCCGGAGCGGGTGGGAAGAGTCGCATGAATAGCTTGCGCACGGGACAAGTCGACGAGATCCTTGTTGATCCTGGGCGGAGCGGAGGTCAATGTGTCCATCCATTCTCGAACCGAAAGCGGAAGCGCTGAGAGGTCTGGTTGAGAAGAGTACGATCTTCGGGACAAGGTGCGTAGCCTCGATATGGGTCGTAATAGGTGTCGGGGTGCTAGGCAAGACATCCCGGACTAGTTTTGACCGTAGGGAGATACTCTGCGAGTGTTCGTGTTGCGAATCGCTATGAGTGGAGTGATTTACAGCTTACAGTCAGCTGCGACCAGCAGTTGCAAGTCGCTCATGCAAGTGACATCGACCATACCATCGAGGTCGACATCGGCGTTCACGAGGGTAGAGTGATTGCCGAACTGAATATCTCATAATTCATTACCCGAACCAAGTCCGAGTCACGTGATCTCATGACGTGTTCAGAGCATTCCATTCCAATCATCCCGCACCTTGTCGATAACGAAGTGTATCTGTCGGTCCAAGCAACACCCAGGAAATCAACTCATCCACATCCTATCGACAACATCGAACTATCCAACTCTGATCTGTAACACTATACCTTACCATGCACTTGGACGACCTCCACGCCCTCTTAGGATCCTCGCCTTCTTCCCCACGTATCGCCGAATTCCTGACCACCCTCTCCTCTTCCTCATCTTCATCCTCATCTTCATCCTCATCGACTTCAACACCTCCTCCTCCTCTTGAGCCGGAGATCAAGACCTTCCCAGGTACCGTCTACCACAACTACTACGACCTTGGTATCTCTTTATGTTACATCCCCGTCAAGAGGACGGGCAAGGGCAAGGTCGATCCGAAGGGGAATAATAATGAGGAAGAGGGGTTCAAGTTGGACGAGATCGATATTTATAATAGCAACGAGGACACAAGCTCAGGGTTGGCTTCAGGATCAATAATACCTGGGGCGCGAGCGGGAGCGGGAACAGGAGCGGGAGCGGGAAATACAACGGGTCTCCGAGGCAAGGCTGCAAGGGTACCTAAACCGACGTTCAAGACGTTCAAGGGCCTGCCTATCGAATTTCCCCTAATTGCTGCCGAGGACAACAAGAACGCTACTGGGTCTGGTTCTACCGAACGGACGGGAAATGCTTCTACATCATCATCAGCGCCACAGCCGACATCGTCCTCATCAACCCAACCACCCTCCACCCCCACGTCCCACCCCTTCCTCTCCCTGAACTCTGGAACGACCGGCCGCACACTCGTCCAAACGCTCGGCGAACCCACCAGAAAGGGCGGAGGTTCCGGGATCGGTCCGTTCATGCAAGGGGTCTACCTCGAATGGTCCCCGTTGGGCGTGCAGGTGGATTTGCAAGCTGGGAAAGATAGTAAAAGCCAAGAAGGTGGGGTTTGGGAGCGGGCGGCGGGGTGGGGGTGGGTCTGTTTGAAGGTCTTTGAGAAGGGTGGGTGAGGTGAGGTGGCTTGGTGTAAAGTTGGAGGGCTGGAGCGGGAGCTGGAGGGATGAGCATTGGAGGGTGGTCGTGTTGAAAAGGTCGGGTCGATGGATATTGAATTATGATCCGAGTGATTCGTGGTATTAACTCATTCTTGATGGCGATAATGGATGATCGCATGGTGATGGTACAAGTCCGTCTATCCATTTCGTCCCTGCGAAGTTCGTAAGGCTGGGTGGAAAAGCAATAACAACGGGTTGAAAATCCATGTCTGTCCGGTCAGAAAAGTCTTTGATATGACAGCGTAGATGAAAATCCTGCTCACTTTCGTTATTCTTGATTATTGTGGTGCTCGTCAATTCGTCGATTCATCATCATTGGTCCTCTCCGCAGCGTATTCTATCCCCCAGATACCATTCAAGCGTCTCTGATCTGCCCACGAGCAAAGATCATATCACGTCCATCCGTATCCCTCCCCTCCCGTTCATCTCAAGCTGAACCCCATCCCCATCCTCAGCCTCGATCCTCAGCACGTCCTTGCCCCGGAACATGACCATCCCCATCTCCCTGCCCCCGAAATACCCCCTAGAGACCGGCGCACCCCTCTTCCTCTCCAGCTCGGGGGAGAGGAACTCTTCCGCGTTGCTGAGGATGATGTTCTGTTGACGGTCCACGCAGATGAATTGGCCGATGAACGTTCTGCTGTCGGCGAGTTTGATCCGGAGGGTTTTGTTTAGGAGGTTTTGCAAGAACGCGGATGAGGTCGAGGTTGAAGGGGAGGTTGAGGTCGAGTTCGGGTTCGAGGTTAGAGGGTCCATGATGCGTGCGTTCTGCACAACTAGGATGTGTCTTTTTGAGGATTACCGGATCACTCTGATTACCGATAAAGCTGACGAGCTGATGGATTAGGTACCGTGGCCTGTAGCTTGGCTTGCAGCAAAGCGGCTGTCGATCGTTACAAGAATGGTGGATGGTCAACAAGGTCGACCCTCCCTCCCTCAGGTGTGATAACGTAAACGTCCCTTTGCGGAAGCAAACATCGTCGTCGTCGATCAAGGTCGAGGTCAGGTCGATCGACTCCTTGGGTTGGGTTGAGAGGGGGAACCTACATCAGGATCATCTCAAACAGATCAAAAGCAATCTACAAGGTCATTCAATGTCAGGTATGTGCCCTCGCCAATCAAGTTCAACCCCGAACGAATTGCGACGGCTGACACAGAACGATCCGCCTTGGTTCGATCGGGGGAAAGAACAGCTATGACCATATCGTAAACAAACCCTGCGTTCGTTCCTCAAACCAGCTAGAATACTCGTAGGATGTCGAGCCAAGAGAGCGATCTGTACCCGGACGAAGGGGACGATCTCGTCATGGCCTTCCTCGAGCAGGAAGCTGAAGTCGAAGCTCAATGTCAAGGTCAGGATCAAGCGAAGCGGGGATCGCAATCAGGAAAGACAATGAAACGAGCGAGGACGAGGAGCGCTTCTCCTGAGCCGGACATGATCAACCCGCACACTATGGGTCTCAAAGTCGAGGGCAAGGTGGATACAGAGGCTCCCGACAGTAGATCGAAGAAAAGGAGAATGGAGAGATCTCCTTCGATCGAAGTACTCGAGGTCAGGACAACAAGCACGAGCACGAGAAAGAGCAAAGCACAAATCAAGGAAAAGGAAAAGAAACCAACTATCAAGCGAGAACAACCCCCACCCTCTTCCTCTCACCCATCCTCATCTTCCTCCTCTTCCGCGCCGATCATCATACTCGAACCCCCCATAGCTTGGCCTCCGGGCAAGATGACCTCTGCGGAGGGTATCAAACAAGCTCATACGGTGCACCGAAAGTACCTGGCCGCGTCTTCGTCTTCGGGTCCTTCTCCTTCAAGTGTCGTTTCTTCTTCTTCTTGTTTGGCCGCCGTCCCAACCGGGATGAAGAAGAGCATGGGGGATCCTAGTTCTACTTGGATCTCGAGGACGAGAACGCAGATCAAGCATGAACAACCGCCTCAATCCCAAAATTATCAATACCAGCCGACGATGGTCAAGATACATCCTTCAATGACAGGCGAATCGAGCCAGACGACCCTGACCCCCCAGCTGGACGAATTCGACGAGGACGAGAACAACCCTTCAGCCATCCATAAGCCTTTGAACAGATCCAAATCGAAGTCCAAGGTGAAAAAGGAAGAACAAGAAGAAGATTTCGTCGTCACCAGGGATTCGAAAGGAAACCTAACAGAAAAGGCTCGAAGAGCGCTGGATAAGAAGCTGTTGGAGAGTTTGGGGAGGGAGGAGAATGCGATTACGAATTCCGACTTGTATTCCCGGTGAGTCTTCGTCCTCGGTCATGCGATTTTGATTGTGGTTGTGATCCTCGTTACCCTTCCTTTCTGTCGGGGATGTAACGCTGATCATCGTAATAACTCCCCCCACCCCCGCTTTCTAGGACGCAACACATCATCTCGGCTGCCTCGGGCCACCAAGTCTCTAACCGCGGAGGAGCCAAGTACAGCATCTCGGGCAAAGATTATAATACGTCGAGAAACCAGAAGTTGAAACAACAGTTTACCGCTGCCGTCGTCAAGCCTGGGGATGATACTGGAGCGGGAAGTGAAAATGCGGTTGGAGCGGATTCGGGAGGAAAGGCGGTCAAGGAGACATTTGTCGTGCAGAGTAGGATCTTTGGTATGTCGCTTTGTCTGGTTGACGCTGGTATCGCTGGGCTGTAGTAGAAAAAAGCTCATCCCCCGATTGTGTTTGGGTTGTAGATGGGTTGACGATGTGGTTGAACGGGTATAGTGGGAATAAGATTACGGATATGGAGCTCAAGAAGCTCATCGCTGTGCATGGCGGGACCATCAGGTGAGCCGACCGGGACTGCTATCCGCTTCCAGGAGGGTGTTCGAATTTGGTGCATCTGTCTGACGACGGATGACGGCGACATTGTAGCATGAACGAAGGATCCAGGATCACGCACGTCCTGGTATCCGAACGGATCTCGGGGACAAAGGCGGAAAAGTTCTTGAAGGGAGCGACCAAGGCGTATACGAAGAATGGCAAGAAAAAGGTCGTCTTGGTCGACTGTGAGTCGGGGAGGAGCTATTGTTGTTTTGCCTTTTTTGGGTACAATTCATTTTTGGTACACTATGCTGACGCCATGTATGGGAAACGTTTCGCAGGGGTACTCGATTCGGTCAAACAAGGCAGGAGACTGGGTGAATCGGCTTACAATGTGATCGAGAACGAAGTCAGTGCCGTAGTCCAGCGGTAGCGACTAGCCGGGACCAGTGCCACTGATCGATCACTGTACTGACCGTGTCTTTGGTCGTTGTTTCCAGTCCCAGCCAACAATCGTTTCCAAGTTCGGCTTCAGCTCTGCCTCGCCATCGAGGAAGAGGTCGGATGGCGACATGAAGCGGATCACGCCAGTCTCTAACGTCAAGCACGTCGAAATTGTCAACTTCGACGACAATGGCGATGAATGATGGGATGATTGTCGGCCCCACCGGGATCACAGGGTATCGGCGAGGCTGCGACGCTCGGACAATTCTCTTGCAAAGGCGTATATGCCCGAAGAATATCTCCTTTGTTCCGTTCAACGATCAATGACCAGGAACACGGGATGTATATCGTTTCAGATACCGCTTGCGCACACATGGGCGCAACCATCGGTCTTGCGCGACCTTGATTTGTTCTTGATGACGATAGGGAGAACTGGCTGCGGAAAATCAAGATAGGTGACGGCCGCCGTGAAAGACGGAGGCCGTCAACAGCGTCATCATACAGGTACTCGTTTACAGGAACTATCTGCATTCATTTTATAACGTTATCGATAGTCCGATAACCGGTTATTCAGGAATCCGGACTGCGTTCTGGTATTTATAGGCAGAATCGAAGGACCGCATGGTCACTTTGCGAGGTCCGTGTCGGTCCTTTGGACGTCATCGAGTGCGACAGAGTGATCTGCGATGTCGGTCGGCCAATTCTTTCGCGCCCATGCGGTAGTTGTTCGACCCGTTGGTCTTGGCGTGTCAGGCACGCTCGTTCTTTGGATTCGACTAAGTTAGCTCCTGCGCGATATCTGAAGCCGATTGCGACCGACTTCGAGTGTGCAGGCGCACGCCACCTTCCGGATGTCGCGATAGACCTGATTGATAGCGACATCGGACGAAACCGTCCGAGGCAGTAATCCTCAGACTTGAGGTCTGGTTGTGTGACGAGCTCCTACCGGGGCGCCCTCGGGAACGATCGATAACACCAGCTCCAATGCTATGCAGCTGATGCTATATATGCAGGGGGACACACGAGTCTCCAAGAGGCAACTGACGTCGAGAAAAGCCGTTTCAGAGCAAGCCTCGTGATTGTTTCAACCGACTACGAGCAATCTTACCATGGCAGCGCTCAGCAACGATGCGAAAGGCGACCTACCTGTCGCCATTCAACCTTATACTACCCCATTCGAGGACACCTTGATGGAGGAGAAGAAGGATTTCACCAAGGAGGAGATCGTTCCGGTAGTAAGTTCGGAGCGCACCTGATGGATCTCATAAGACACAGCTGATTTCTTTCTGTTTGACAGTCTCCGAATGAACTCGGTTATCTCGACGATACTCCTGGAGGTTTACTCTCGCGCACGACGCCCCAAGACCTTGAAGAGGCGGAAGAATATGCTAAGACATTGACCTTGGAGGAAGTCAGGACGGTGAGTGTTTCGAACCTTGGTCAACAGACGATGCCCCTATTGACCTCTATGTATCAACAGATCTTGACGGATGCTCTCAAGGTACACGAACACGATCCTGGGTTCCCACTCCTGGTCATTCGACAAGCGCAAAAGTTCCTCTACGACGAAGAAGCGCAGGAGGATGCGGAAGCCTACGAGACCTTGACGCGCTTGATGTTCATCGAAGCTGCCTTGATCGTCAACCATAGCCCCTATGCGGAGGTCAGAGCTGTCGTCCCGAACAAGGATGACCCGGCGATGCCTTCGTCGACCATCAGGGCTTGGACTATTTCTATGCTCTTCGTGGCCGCCGGAGCCGTCATCAACCAGCTCTTCTCGGTTCGACAACCCTCGATTACGGTCGCAAGTAACGTGGCTCAGCTTCTGTCCTGTAGGTTCAATTCCAATATCGCCTAGATATAGTGTCGCTGATTTAGTCTTGCGAGGGCAGTTCCATTGGGGAAATTGTGGGAAAGATGGGTTCCTGACTGGCGCTTCAGGTTCTTTGGCACGGAAATGTCGCTCAACCCTGGTCCATTCAACCGGAAGGAACACATGTTAATCACCATTGGGGCGAATGTAGGGTTCTCTACCCCTTATACGTGCGTCGAGACGTTCCCATGCAAGTTGCATCCAAGCGCTGAAACATCCTTCCTCAGCGACAACATCATATGGTCTCAGGCCCTCCCTCAATACTACAACCAAGCGTATGCCAAGCAATTCTCCTATCAGATCCTAGTAGGTCTCGGAACAAACGTGAGTCCTATGTCTCTCAATTTTTGTTTTGGCCACACGCGCGCCTTTTCGAGGCCTGCTCTCCTTGCCATGAATACCTGCGTCAGTTCGCCCGCTGACTGCTCTGTCTTTTCTCAGTTCGTGGGCTACGGGATGGCTGGATTGACTAGGAGGTTCTTGGTCTACCCGTCCTATGCCGTCTGGCCGACCTCGCTCGTCACCATTGCGCGTGAGTCCGCCGTGCGCGCGCCAAGTCGACGTCTCATTCGAATTCATTCGTCCTTCATTCTGCGAAACTAGTGAACGAGGCGTTGCACTCGGGAACCGAGAACACGACGACTAGAGGTCCTTTCAACACCTTGTTCAAAGCCTCTCGAATGAGAGCATTCGTGCTCTTCTTTTCGGGCATGTTCGTTTACTTCTTCCTGCCCAACTACATGTTTACTGCCCTGTCCGCTTTCAACTTTATGTCCTGGATCGCCCCGACGAATTCCGTTTACAACAATATTACAGGTAGGGTCGCGCCCACATGGAACGCGCGCCCTAGCAAATCACTAACAAACGTGTTCCGTCTGGGCTCGACCCTCACTGTACAGGATTTTCTAACGGACTAGGTCTGTCCCCCTGGCCTACTTTCGACTGGAACATCGGTGCGTGAAGGGTGTTTCGCCGGAAGAAAGCGCGATCGCGATCACTGATCTTATCGGTTTTTTCCTCAAAAGTGACGTTTATGGGCGATCCTTTGGTCTTGCCGGCATTCAACATCATCAACTCTTGCGTGGGGATGCTATGCACCATGTTCATGATCCTCGCCATTTATTACAGGTACGTCCGCGCCCGGACGGAACGCGCGCCTAGCAAATCGCTAACAAAATGTTCCGTCTACGTGCAAACATCACTGACAGCAACGCATATCATACCAGCTATCTTCCAATCAACAGCAATCGCACCTTTGACCGTTACGGAGGGCTATACAACGTCTCCAGGGCTATCGACTCGCAGGGTCACTTTGCCAAGCAGGAATACATGGACTATTCTCAAGCGTACATGGCGGCCGGAAACGTCACGGTCTACTTTTGGTTCTTTGCAATCTACTCTGCCGTGGTTTCGTACGCCTTCCTCTACCACCGGCACGAGATTGCCATGGGCTTCAGCAATGTGTTCAGGAGGAAGAAGGCTCTCGGCTACAAAGACGTTCACAACAAGTTGATGCAAGCCTATCCCGAGGTCTCTGAATGGGTATACTTGGGGGTCCTCTGTGTGGCGGCAGGTTGTGGTATCGCCGGCATCGCCGCTTGGGAAACGTACACTACCCCAGCGGTCGTCATCTACGGAATCATCCTATGCGCGGTCGCTGTGGTTCCTGTTGGTATCATCGCGTCGATTACTGGACTCGAAGTGGTGAGTGTTCTGGACGGCCGAAGTCGATCGAATTGCTTATAGATGATAAAAAATGCCCCACAGACTCTCAACGTCATTGCGGAATTTATTGGAGGAGCTTGGGTCGCCGGGAATGCCCTCGCGATGAATTACTTCAAGTCGGTGAGTGGATCGTTCAGCAAGGTTGAAGAGCTCTCGTGTTCATCTGCGTTCAACAAATTCCAGTTTGGATACGTGACGTGCGCCCATGCATTAGCTGTGAGTGGCTTTGAACGCTTTGCATTTGGCTTTGGGGGCGGTGGGAGAGGGCACGGGTCATCGACGTCGTAGTCGTTGTCTTCGGCGTCGCGCTTACGTCCTCTCGTCGGAAGAAAACGCCATCGCGGTCACTAACCATATAACCATCCGTTTCCCCAGTTCTCCAAGGATCTCAAGTTGGCGCACTACGTGAAGATCAACCCAAGGCACACGTTCTGCATGCAAATTGCAGCCACACTCGTTTCGACCTTTGTCTGCACCGCCATCCTGAACTTCCAGATCGGTCTCAAGGATGTTTGCACCCCGGATGCGCCATTTCGGTTCACTTGCCCTGGAATCAACACTTTCTTCACGGCGGTGAGTACATGTTATCCGGGGAATCTCTGCCGACCAATTCTCAAGCTTCGTTTCATCCATAGGCCGTTTTCTGGGGAACCCTTGGCCCCCACAAGATGTTCGGACCCGGCGGACAATACACTGAGCTGCTCATTGGCTTCCCTGTCGGCTTCGTCATTCCCATCATCTTTTATTTCGCCATGAAACGGTTCCCAAGACAGAGTTGGCTCCGCCAGGTCCACCCTATTCCGCTCATCGCCGGAGGTATCGCATGGGCCCCATACAACCTGGCTTATACCCTACCCGCGCTACCTTGGTCGATCCTGTCGATGGTATACCTCAAGAAACGATACCTCCCTCTTTGGTCCAAGTACAACTACACCATCTCGGCCGCCCTCTCCTCGGCTATCGCCTTGTCGGGTGTCTTAATCTTCTTCGCGCTGCAGTTCCCCGGCGCCGAGTTCCCGGAATGGTGGGGCAATGCCGCTGATACCGGATGCGAGGCAAAGGCTTGCAGGAGGTTTACGGTCGACCCGAAGTTGGGATTCGGACCTGCTCCTGGCGAGTTCCCCGGTTGAGCGTTCGAGCGGGCCGAGTGGAGGTATAAGATCACGTTTTGCTGGAAGATCGTGGACAGACCAGAAATTAGATTCGGAAAGATTATTGTATATCGGTGCAATGCGCTATATCGGTGCAATGCGCTATCAAGTCTGATTGACGTGGTTATGGTTATTATTATATTTTTGAGCGAGTATCTCGGATCGGTGTCCACAGGCGATCTTGGACAAGGGTTCTGATGCATCGCACCCCGCGTATACGTTCATCAATCTACGCAACTTCACACCGCGATCAAAGAGCCGCGATCGCGAATCACACCTTCTTCACACGTAGAAAAAGGCTGATACCCTTACGCAGTCGCCTTTGCGCTGAGAAGAATGAACACGTCCGTATCTAGCTTGCATATCCATGCGTTATACTCCATTTGTACAAGATGATGCTCAACGTAACCATGCTATCAACCCCATGCATCCCGCGCCCAACAAGATCCCCGCCGTCCCAACGACCGCTGTCTCGATCTTTCGATGATCCAAATGTAGTAAGTAGTCGCTGGACCGAGGAGAGACTCGAGCGACCTGTTCGGAGATGGTATAGACGAACGATCTTGGTACGATACCGGCTGTTTCCGGTACGTCAAGAGCCAGGTTTGCTTCGCGGAGGTTCTGGCCTGGGGCCTCAGTCTCGACAATTTCCGTGTCTGCAAGCTGGGCTGCTGGAATAGCCAACGCTTCGCTCATCTGTCCTCCGTCACCTGTCGACAAGGCCGCCAGAGCCGTATGCACCCCATGCAACATCTCTTTGACAGCGCCCATCTCGTGTTCCACCTTGCCCTCGACCGTTTCCATCATCCCCTTGACCCTCTCCTCCAGCCCTTTCACCAGTCTCCTGCGTTTCCACGGTTCGACGACGGCGATCGCTCCCAAAAAGACCACCAGGTTCACGACGAGCACGATCAAGCTCCCATACGTGCTCACGCTCCGGATCTTGTCGCTCCAGACCTGTTCCTCGTGGTACCGATGCAAGATCGATTTCATCAACCCATCAAAAGCCTTTTCCACATCCGCCTCGGCTTGGACCAGAGCGGTCTTGGTCGTCTGCACACTGGCGTTGGAAAGGTGGTCGGCCCGGACGAGCGAGGTGAACTTGATCACGTCCGAATCGCTCCAAGCGTGTTTACGCTCGAGCAGCGAGTTGACTTCTCGTTGAGATTCCGTCCGGGTGTTGACGGCTTCATCGTAGGCCAGCTTGGCTTCCCGCGCTATCGTCCTCAGCCTCGAAATATCGTCCTCTATCAGGTCAAACAAGCAGCAGAAGCATAAGCCAAGACACTAGATCGCTCGTTGAGAGGAAACACTTTCTCGTGCTCACCTCGTTCCGTAACCTCCCGCTTCAACCTCTCAACTTCATTATACCCCGTCAACTCATTAACCCGTCCTCCCAACAACCCAAACTGCACCCTCGCCTCCTGTTCCAAAGCTTTAGCCCGCTCAGAAGCTCTCTGTCGCAAGACTTCTGTCCGGACAGACAAGGTCTTGCGCAGAGCATCGGCTTCCGTTCGAAGGGTCTTGATATGGTCGTTCAGACGGGCTTGGAGTTTTTCGGCTTGCGGGCGAGTGAGACCAGCAGTGGAAGAGGATGAGGATGAGGATGAGGTGGCGTTTGAAGTGGGACTTGTAGGTAATGGCCTTATGAGCAGCGGTGCCGAGCCGGAGCTTGTTGTCAAATTCGATGTTGACGTTGTGGACGGGCCGGAAGTACCCTCTTCCTTTCCTGTACCATCTTGTCCAATCTTGCCGCCCATCCCCGTATCTACTCCAGGTCCTACCACGCCCTCCAACCTCTTCTCCTCTTTCCGATCTACCATCCCATCCCACTCTTTCCAAGCCTCGAAATCCTCGACCTTCCTCTCCCTCTTCTTCTTCTTCTTCTTCTCTTCCAGCTTGGCATCCCCTACATCATCCGGGTCGACTCCGTACTCCCTGAGAATCCGCTGTACGTCCTCGTCATGTTTGTCCAGAGTATCAGGTTGAGCTCTTCGTTCAGGAGTATTGCTGAACATCCGAACACGGTCGAAGTCAAGAGCATTACGATGCCGATATTGGGTCGTCGGAAGCCATGCCGACGGAAGGTCCCTCTTTCGGGAGATGCTCCGTATTGTTACGGATTTGAACATGTTGATGTGGTCCTAATCACTCTAGATCCAGCTCGAATGCGCTTCTTGATGATAATATCGAATGGAGAGCAAAGAATAGAGTGCTTCTAGGCTGGTCTGGTGTATGAGGCGTCCGTACTAAGACGTTTGCGATATCATAACGACAAGATCATTAAAGAGGCGCTACCGGACCGAGCATACCTCGTGAACTCACCCCGATTGAAACCTTACTCGAGAATTCTACCGAGACAGGCAACTGGCACGCTGGCACCTTCTGCTAGCTCTATCCTGAATATGCTGTGTCCGATTTGAGAGCAGAATCGACGACATGAAGTCACTGACGATTACACAAATGCTAGGAGGTCGGACTTGACCGGAACCAAATCCGGAAGCAACTAAACTGCACACGCAATTTAGTTTGGAAGAGCTCTCTACTAAGTCTTGACCGACGACATCGAGGTCTGCTTGATAGATCTACAACGCTGTCCACCGATCGATATAGTTTATCTGGATCTAGAGAATTCAGGCTGTCGTTTGAGCCAAAGCGGGACGCTCTAGGTATTCCCGATCGGTAGAAAAGGCGAGACATATCGCAACGAGGTGAATTGTCCGCTCGATGTGGGTATGTTCTCCGATCGACTGACCATCCGACTCTATCCTTACAGCTCATATAAGTCGGAAGGCAAGGAACTAGGCTATCATCCCATCCATAAAGAGACCTTCGACCCCACCGGTTCAAACGACACCAACGAGGATTGTTGGATCTCGGACACGTCGCCAACCACGAGGTTTCCTAGAACTCTGAGAATCCCTTCGGAGTAGCAAACACCACTGAGAGACCTGCCGGAACATCAAGGTTACACCCTTAGAGAAGGAGATATCAATTGGAGGATTGGATCTGTAAAGTCCGACATCGAAGCTGAATTGTAACAGGTCAGTCTGCGAGACCATACCAGTACAGTATCAGAATGATCCGTCGCTGATCTATCGCGTCTTCATTGACATTTCTGTCGCAGCACCTGGAAGTACCAGAACAGTGTCTTCACCAAATCATATCATAAAACCACTTCCAACATGCATGTAAGCCCCCCAAAGTCAACTCAAACCCTTCAAACGCAACCGCGATAGCTCAAAGCCTAACCAAAACATAGATCGCCGTAGAAGGTTGTTCTCACGGATGTCTGAACGATATCTACGCGACGGTCCAAAAAGCAGAACGAGAGAAGGGGATCAAGGTAGATCTTCTGCTCTTGTGCGGTGATTTCCAGGTGAGCCAGGGTTTCGCCTCCATAACCATAGCCGTGATTGCATCCGTACTGTTTACCCGAGTCTCAGCTGACCCTATGACCTCGATCATCTCGTCCACCCGATCCGAAACAGGCTCTCCGGAACTCGCACGACTACGACTCGATCGCCATAAGCCCGAAATACCGGTCTCTGGGTTCCTTCCACGAATACTATTCTGGGAAACGGGTGGCGCCTTGTTTGACGATTGTCATTGGGGGGAATCATGAGTGTATGAGTTATATGTGGGAGCTGTGAGTCCATCGTATCCTCTCCTCTTCTTCTCTTCCTCGTGCTAGAGTTTTTCTGCTACGCAACGCATAACTGACAGGATCTGTGAAAACGACGATTTGGCAGGTACCACGGCGGATGGCTCGCACCCAACATCTATTACCTCGGACACGCCGGTAGCGTGATCGTCAACGGTATCCGGATCTCCGGAGCCTCTGGGATTTACAAGTCGCATGATTATCATAAAGGTCAGTGTCCTTTCCTTAGAATTCGGTCGAGGTTCGAGCAAGGTGCATTCGCCGGAAGAAATGATTCCCGGCAGAAAACCTGCCATCTGCCGGGAAGTCGTTTGAAGTTGCAGAGTTTCGACAAAGTCGCCGTGACCTTCTCCGATCGACCTCTGGTTTCCACCTGAGCTGACGTTGCGTCTATTTTCCTCTTCTTGCAGGTCATTTCGAGAAAGTCCCATACGACCGCTCGACCGTCCGATCGGCTTATCATACCCGGAAATACGACATCCATCGATTGTCCCAGTTGACACCCCGGCCCGGATCGGCATCAGGTTCTAGCGTAGATAAAGGCGAGGATAAAGAAACGGAGAAGGTGGACATCTTTTTGAGCCATGATTGGCCAGTGGGGATCACCCGATTCGGGGATGAAAAGGGGTTATTAAGGAGGAAGACGTTCTTTACAGAAGAAGTGAGTTTCCTCTCGTCATAGGGAATGAAAAGATCGATACTGACCGAATTATTGTCTTGTTATACCTCACCTTATGCTGCAGGTCCGCACGAATACGCTCGGATCGCCTCCCCTTCTCCAGCTCTTGCAAACCCTACACCCGTCTTACTGGTTCTCCGCCCATCTTCACGTCAAATTCTCCGCCGTCATCCCTCTAGAAAAGTTACGAGAGCTCGAGCGGATCATGCTGAACGATCGACAGCCTAGTGGATCGCAACGACAAAACCAGGTTCAAAATCAGTCGACTCCGAACAAAGCTAGTAATCCGGACGAGATAGTCATGGACGACATGGACAGCGATGACGATCAGGCGGATGAACCGGTTCCCAAGACGAACAACCCGGATGAGATAGTCATGGCGGACATGGACGACTCGGACGAGGAGGAGGAAGACTCGCCCACTAAAGCATCGGAAGTCGTTGAAGCTACGCCGCTCGAGAGCGTAGATCGTATCGAATCGGATCCCACTACGAAAAATACGGAAATACCTCTCAAGGCGGATGACGAAGGGATAAAGGAGGCTTTAGAAGAGACCAGGTGAGTTGTCTACTGGACAGCAGCGAAAAACTAGCGCGTCTGCAAGCATGCTAAAGGGGTTCATTTCTGAACTGCAGCCCGGCCTTGATCGACGATCAGGTCACATCGGAAAGAACAGACGCAGCTGGGAACATCGAAACAAAATTCCTCGCTCTGGACAAGTGTGGTCCGCATAAACAGTTCATCCAGGTCAGTTGCAATCGTGCAATCTTGCTTGCCCAGGCAATGACCGCTGGCGGTTGCTGATTTCTTTCCCGATTCGACTTCCACCAGTTCATGGAAGTTCCCACACCCGAGTCCGATTCCCCGCCTCGCCTACAATTCGATCCCGAATGGCTCGCCATCACCCGAGCGTTCCATCCGTGGTTGAGCTTGACGCCGAATCAACGCCCGCTCCCATCGCACGAAGAAGGCAGGAAGTTGATCGAGGCGGCACGAACATGGATCGAAGAGAACGTCGTCAAGAGGGAGATGCCAACAAACGTGGGCATACCTGCAATCGAAGCAGTCGCGCCGATCACGCAGGGGGTAGAGGAGCAGGGAGGCGACGGGATGGTGCAGAAGCAGGAATATCAGGACGAGTCGGTCGCACCGGGAGTCAAACCGTTCGGACCGCTCGACGTCGAGGGTGTACAAGTCTTTCAACCAACGGCTCCTGCCGAATTCTGCGGTCCCGCCTTTCCTGGTAAGCACTTCTTTCTCATAGCGAGGGGACGGTCAGGCTGACCAATTCTCCCTTGCATCAGGTCAATGGTTCACGAACAGGCAGACGGAAGAGTTGTGCAAGCTGCTTGGCGTTCCGAACCGTATCAATCCCTTGCCTACCGGTGTATAAGCTAGCTCGAACATAACATGTGATGACGTGCCCTTGATCACCGGTGTAGAGATTGCCTCGAACTCGTTTGACAAGTTGATTAAGAGCACCATCTATAAAATCACGAACAAGACTACAATGGCAAGGTATAACACGTCGTACAAGTAAATGGAAGAGAGGGAAAAGGCCGGCTTCCGCGTAAACAAGGATGACCTCGTTTCACCGACCTTACCGCTCGAGCTTGGGGTGTTCGGACGACTAGCATGGCCTGCACGAAGGCTCGACGCAACTTGATCAGCCCTACTATGCCCAAGCTCTCGTCCTCGACCTACAATCACAGCGCCATGAAGAGGGCAGATCGGCTTCTGCGTAAACGAGGACCGGCCCTCGTTTCACCGATCTTGCCGCTCGGATTCGATGTGTTCGGACGACGTCCTACTGACAACCGAACCTGTTTTCAAGCCAAGACCCAGAACGAACCCTAAAACCCGGAGTAAAGACGAAATCCCCAATCGAAACTTCAAGACCCGGACCCGAAACGAAACCCATCTATGACCTGCGTGAAGATGAGATCGATTCGTCAGTGATCCTGATGATATTGCGGTTCCATGTGAAGCGTCGAACTCACTTGTAAAGCCGGACTCTGAAACTCTCTACGCCTTTCCCGCGACGGACAAGCCGCAAAGCTGACAGCAGAGGTGATAGGCCGATGCGTAAGTTGAGCGAACGAGCAGGAGGCAGATGCGTAACGTACCCGATCGGAACAGGGGTCTGGACGGCGGCGACGTCGTTGATGTCGGCGTCGTCGTCTTTGTTGTTGTCGTTGGACAGCAGCCTGGCGCTGTGCCAGCTATTCCTGAGCCTCCCTACGACCTGTAAGAAGACGTTTTTCTGTTAGTGATACTAAAGGCAACGCGTTTCAGATGAAGCGTTGAACTTACTTGTTAAGCCCGACTCCGAAACTTTCTACGCCTTCCTCGTGACGTAGACAGCTATCACCAAGCCTCCCTGCGACCTGTATGAGAACGAATCTGATGTTAGTGATTTTGATACTGCAGTAACGCGTTTCATGTGAAGCACCGAACTCACTTCTAGGGCCCAACCCAAAGCCCTCTCCGCCTCCCCCCCCCCTTTACGCTTCATCCCTAGCGTACGGCAGGAACCGCCGAGCCTCCCTTCTCCGCCTCATCGCCCCCGGGAGTGGGGTGGGCGTCCCCGGCGGACGGACGTAGTAGGCGTCCCCGCCCAGCAGGTCCAAGAACTCGTCGTCGAACTGCCGGTCGTCGGCCTCGACGCGTTCGTCCTCCGCCTCGTCTGCCCTTCGCGCCAACTCGAACTCGTGCAGGGGGCGAGCACGAATCCGAGGGACCAGCCGAGCCCCGTCGGTCCGAGCGTAGACGTACGTGTGCGGGTACGCTCGCTCAAAGACCGGAGCCGATCCTACCGACGGTCCCCTGAAGAGGGACCCACCCATGGCCAACCGAGCGTTGACCTGCCGAGCGTAGACGTACGCATGCGGGAAGGCGACCTGAAACCCGTATTCATACGACGTCGACGCGAGGAGATCGGCGAGGGCGTCGGTGTCGGCATCGGTGACGACGGCAGGCACGAATCCAGCGGCAGGCGATTCGAAGACCGGTACGTGGAAAGCCGGTACGACGAGCGCTGGGGCGGGGGCAGGGGCGGGGGCGACCAAGACGGGGACCGGGGCCGGCGCGAAGTCGTAGGCGACGACTGGGGCGGTGGCGACCGGGAGAGGGAGGGCGGCGACGATGGGAGGGACCGGGAGGACAGGGGGGACGAAGGCGGGGGCGAGGGCGAGGGCGGGGACCGGGAGGACAGGAGGGGCACCGTAGAGGAACTCGAGCGTGCGCGGGGCTAGACGGTGGAACATGAAACATAAAGGACGACGGGATGAGCTCGACTGGTACGAGTCTTCGAACGATGAAACACAAGACGCGCGACTTACAGTGCTGCTCGTTCTCCTCGTTCTCCTCGTCTTCCTCGGGTGCCTCGGGGACAGGCGCGATCCCTCCCATGCGGGGAGCCTCCAGACCGTAGTAGACCCGCGTGAGCCTGTCCACCTCCTTCATCTCCTCCTCCAACCACTTGACGTACTCCGGGTCCTGAGCCCGTTCCTCCTCGATGCGGCGCTGCTTGCGCTCCCCTGAGTCGAGTAGAAAGAGACGAGAAAGGATGGATGAGTACGTGCATGATCAACTAGGCGAGAAGACCGAATCGACTGACATTCCTGCTGCTCCCGACGCTCCCGATGCGCTTCTGCTGCTTCATCCCTCGCTTGTCGCCAGGCAGCTTCCCAGCGCCGTCTGCCCTCAGCATTCTCGATCGCTTCGAGTTTCGCCTTGCGGGCTGTCATGGGTCGACACGGTATGAGCGATGACGGTGGGTAACGACAAGTGACGTCGGGTGTCGAGAGCGACGGTGATGGTCGATGACGATGAGGGACAAGAGCGATGGCGATGGTAGAGACGATGAATGACGATGGGTGACGGTGCGTGGCGATGCGTGGCGATGCGGGTCGATGGAAGAGATAGGGGTCACCACGATGATGTGAACGGGGACGCCGACGACGATATGTTGATGGAGCGGGGAAAGATGATGTTGATGATGCGTATGTTGTAGATCGGTAGCGATGACGATGGGGAGTGGTAAAGGACGGTGATAGGAGATGTCGACGTCGAGAACGGCGAGCGAAGACCATGATCAGTTCGGATCAAAGTCCCGTAACAAACCAGTCCGTACTCACCCTTCTCCATCCGGTAGCGCATGTCCTGCATCTCCAACCAGGTCAGCGGCCAAGGATTACACTTTCGGTGTTCCTCGAACCACTCCTTGAGGAGCCTTTGGTTCTCTGCGACGAGGACGAGCGAGGAGTCGATCAGCGGAATGCGTCGAGTCGAATCGAGCGTCGACTCACCAAAGTGCTCTCTCCAAACAATAGACTCCACCCACAGCCAAAAATGCACAGGAAATCCTGTGATAAAGGCGTACAAGAGGTGGAGATGATGACAGATACTGTCAATGTCAGCCAAGAATGGCAGGACAAGAGTGATGAGACCCAATTCAAAGAAGAGGGTGTCGAAAAAGGGGTAGAGGAAAGTGGACAAGGAGTAGAGGAAGGAGTAGAGGAAGGTGGAGATGTAGGCGAACATGGTTGTTGTTGTCGTCGAAGGTGTATTGTTTTCGTGTTCAAGTTGGTGAAAGTTCAAGATGAAGACGATTGATGAAGAAGAAGAGAGTAGAGTAGAGTTGTTTGATCGAGCGTCGAGACCAGATTGAACCGAATTTATATGTTTCCCGTTGGCTGAGAGAGAGAGAATACACGATCCAGGCGGCCAGGCGGGAAAGGGGTCGGGATCGTTGGATGCTGGTTGGTCGAAGGCAGGAGGAGGACAGGAAGAGAGAGGACGACGACGAGCGAGGTGCGAGTGCTGGCTGCGGTTGCTGTTGCTCGTTGCGTGTTGCCGTGCTGTGCTGTCGGTCGTTGGGGAATGGGGCTGAGGGCTGGGAGGGAATAGGGGCGGAGGAGGTGGATCCATCAGTGAATGTGCCATGGGGTGGGGAATGGGAAAGTGTTTCGAGGGGAGGAAGGCAGAAGGAGGAGGGGGAATGGGAACCGAGCTAGAACAACGATCAACCGAACCGAGTTGTGGCGTCAGTCAATCAATCAAACTGACGGCATTCGCGGGCAGCCAAGCCCGAGATCGAGACCCTTAAGCGCAACTATTCGGATCCGAGACTCACCTCGAAAGCCCCAAGCAATCGTGTCTGACACACTCGCGCGGCCTGGACGTCGATACATGACCTTCAAGACATCTTGCGGATCTAAGGGTACAAGTTGAAGTTGAAGTCGAAGTTAAGTTGAAGTAGAAGTGTAAGTTGGAGTCGGGGTCGAAGTCGAAGTTGAAGAAGCAAAGTCAAGTTCGTATTAGTATCGATGAAGAAGTAGAGGAATTGAGAAGCAGACGCCTTACCAGAGCCTTGACGTGCGCCTTGATCCCATCGCTTCCCCGATGAACCAACCTCCCATCCGCTTTCGCCAACGCCCACATGTTGTCAGTCACGGCCTTCTTGACGAGTTCGAGGAAGATCGCTTCCTCTTCGTTGGTCCAAGCCTGGTATCGTACCATCGGGCAAGGTCAGGGTCGGGAACTCGGTATGAAAGTAGAAGAAGATACAAGAAGAAGCGGAGTCGAGAAGACTTACTCGTTTCTGATACTTGGTGTTGTCCTTTTCGAGATCGTCGTCGGCCTTGCGTTTCTTCGCGGCGTTCTTCTTGGGAGGTACGGGTTCCTTTTTGACGTCCATCGTTGAGTATAGTATCAGATTTGGTAGTTCGAGTTGGGGTTGAGTATCGAGATCGAATATGTATCGAATAAGATTGAGTAAGATCTTAAAGTAGCAAGGTAGTAAGAGCAAGTTATCAGTGACGAAACGGAAGTCGTCCCAAACACCCTGTCAGACTATATACGATTCCCCATCAACCTTCTCAGCTTCTCAAGCTTCTCAAACGGTTCAAACATCGTCTCACGCGTTCCCGATCCACTTCAATGGCTCAAAAGTCGTCAGACGATTTCAAATCGCTCTCCCCTCGAACCCTCTAGTGTATTTCTAGCCGAGGTACGACGATCCTCCGACGATCCCTTTTGATCCTTTGAAACCCTTCAATAACGCCGTCTGTCATATTTCCTCTCGTCCCGCGCCTGCTACGTGACAACACGGCGATAGACCGATGCGGTTCTGTCCGGTCTCAGATCTCGAGTACCCCATTTTTGTTTCGGGGTAGAGGACATAGCCGAGGCCGAGGTAACGATGACGCTGTTGCGCTGTTGCTGATTTTTACAATGAAACGTCCCGAGGACGGCGACAACGACGAAGTCTGGCGATTGATCGATTCTTCTACAGAACAAAAAAAAAAAAAAAGCAAAGACACGAAAACTTTATATATCTTGTCGCTTGTCGCACAGCATCACCCCTTCACCCCACCCGAAATCGATCCCTTCCGGCCCGATCGTGACATGATTATGTCGATCAACACACCCCGAAATCGAGGATAAACGCGTTTGTCGAGGTCATATTGACTACCCCGCGTAAGATGAAACATGTATCCCAAACGACGTGTGAGCGGGCGCTGCGACATCCTTATTCGGCGGGATACATGAGCAATGTGCTTACATCGATCTGCGAGTACCTGAGGATCCCACTTGATCCCATTAAAAAACGTCCGTCCGAGCAGTGCGTCCGCTATTCCCCCCAAAACCAGGTCGTGTCAAGGTGGAATCATCAGCCAATCGCGCGTCGAAATCGAGATCGGCTTCCTTGCCCGCGGAGCGATAACTCACCTTTTCTGTACCCGTCGAACATGCCCATTCCCGGCGCCATCCCCCCGAACATGGCCCGAGCTTCAAAGTATCGTTGTTCCATGATTCGGACTCCCCGCGGATGCATCTGTAAGCAGGGTCCGAAAAGTCAGTTCAATAAGTCCGGGATCTTGTTCGGGTTGGCGCGCGAGCCGATTGATAGCTGACCTCCATCATCTCGTCGACGTATAACGGTGATCTGTATATAGCAGGAGATCTCTATCAGCTGGCTGATGGGAAAGCGAGATCGGAGATAACTTGCGCAAAGAATTCGAAGCTGTTAATATATGAGCGAGTATCAGCTTTTTTTCTGTATTTGGGTGAAGAGCGTACCAGGCGCGGCGCTCACATCGCATGTAGAACGTCATTTACTCTGATCACCGCCCGAAATGATTAGTCAGTACGGTGCGACCTCTGTGCCAGAAATTAGGATGGGCTCACGTCACACCCCCTCGATTCCTAACAACCGCCAGCACACAAACCCCCGACCCCAAGAACAGAATTCAGCCGGCCTGTCATCCCCGCTCGACCTGAGGAAGATTAACTTACCGTACTCTTACTACCCAACCCGTCTCTGCGTGACAGCAATACAGCTCTTCCACACCTGTGCAGAACAACACGACCAGCCCACGAACCCAAACATGTTTTCATCAGCCTGGCTACCCTTGTCTCGAGCAGAAAAGAGACGATGACAGATAGGACGGCAGGAGGGGCGAGACAAGACTTACGAGGCTGAGTCGCCGCGTGATCCCGCTCTCCGACCAATTCCGTCTCTTGTGCTTCTTCGTCGATCCAGATGACTGCGTATGCCTATCATCCACATATCACACCGGCCCAAGAAAGGTTCTTATTAGCCCCCGCACTGTGTGAAGCTCGAGAAACGTAACGTCGGCGTTCAGGACGAAAGCGAAATTGATCTAAAATTCCCATGTTTCCGCGGACTGGGAGATCTGGGTCAACTTGTTCGCTTCCGCCTGACCGGTCGGCCGGTGGTAGTGGTCCAGGGGAGGTGAGGAAGGTTGGCTTACAGGATGTTCGATTGCGTTCCACTACAAGTCATAAAATAGGATACCGAAGAAACGGGTTGACATGTGAGTGATATGAGCTAGTAATCGTATGCACAAGGGAGTCAAGAGGACTCACCGCTAAGTATTTCGGCCAAGGTCTTCATTTCACCACGAGCCATACAAGATGAGTACGTCAGCTCCCTTCTTCCCGTCGTCGCGAACATCAACCTCGACCATGGCCATCCTCCACCGGCCAGCTCATCAAGCTCCTCCCTCCCTCAACTCGCATCTTACTTAACATTCACCCCGCAATAAGGAAGCAAAGATGACTCACTTGGGATCCCACATCGTCAGATCCAAAAGAGGGTGCAACTTCAACGCCCTCGAATGCATCCCCGCCTGGAGGTAAGTCAGGATCTGGGAGTGCCCTGGACCGGGTTGCTACGATGGCCGGAAGCGAACCAGACGGAATGCCAAGGAAGAAGGTATGTTGTAGCATTGATTGGCGTTGTATCGTGTCGTGTCGTATGTCAGGGATGGAGACGCAGACGAGTGAAAAAGAACGAGGACTACGGTCAGCACGTCGAAAGCCCTATGCCGCCAGTCTGTCTGTCTGAATGTTCTCTCTTGATCGCGGATGGTCAAGGAACGGGAAAGACATACCCATGGATGCAAAGCAATACCCTTCTTCCGTGTTGGTGGAGGACCCGCCGTGGGCAAAGTAGGTGGTGCGGCCGACATCTCGACTAGATGCTAGCGATTCGTCCTGTTATGCTTGTGTTTCGTTCTGGCCTGGTTTTCGGCTTGAGTCAGGTCGCAACGAATGAACTGGGGGATAAGGGGATGGGTTGGTCGTTTTCTTGATTGTATAGGCCGATATGTGTGGCTTGACGGTGATGAGATGGAGATCGAGGTCGGAATCGGATCGGTATTATTGTCGATGTGGTGGAGAAGAGGTCGGATGGGATCAAAGGAAGGTCCACGATGACGAAATATCCAGGATCCAGATACCTCGTTTCTGTATCTACCAGTAATTGTCCTTGACTGTAGGTGTGAAAGTTCTAAATGAGTGTTGTTACGTTGTTGTTATCCTCGTCCCGTTCGACGGTTTCCCCAGAGAAAAGACGAGCGAAGTTGGAGACCCCGTTGACCCCCAAGTGACGGTCGTCCGACCGTCCTCTTATATATCCCGTTGTTATTTGCTGACTGAACCCGAACCGAAGATGCGGCAGTTGAGAGTAGATCCGGCCAAAGTGCCTTTGAAAGAGGTATGAATGTCGAAACGGTCGATCCCACTCCAACATTCGAGTCGGTTCCTGTTAAAATCCCAAGGTCTGTGTGCTCTTGTCGTCTTGTTTACATTTGATGAGAGAGTGATTGGGGAAAAGGAAGGTTCGACAGGATTTCCCTCCCTTTTGATGAAATTGATGATCACGAGCCGAAACAGTCGCTCAGTCGGAATGGTATCGAGCTCAGGGTTGATGCTGCGCTCGCGAGGTTCTGGTTCTGGGACTAGTCAACGTGACATGCCTTGCATGACTTGATATATTGATATGCTATATGCTATATGCTATCTGCGTATATCTGCTCGATGCTCAACACCCAAATCCCAATTTCATGGTCCTTGTTCTCGGCGTCAGCTCTTGGCTTCTGCCCGAATTGCCGTTTTCGTCCAATCAATCAGATCAAAGGACCCCCTCGCTGCTCCTCACCCACCCGTACCTCCCTTTTTGATGCACAGCGCGCGGGGACCGATCACCTGAAACGCGAACCAAAATCCGCATCCGCCTTTGTTCGTGCCGGGATCGGGCCTCGTGACGTCACGTGACGTCTAAGCGCTCTCACCTGGAACTCCACAAGCTCGAACATCTAGTGGCCAGCGGACATCGAAACTCGGAGGCTCAAAACCGGCTAATTGCAAAAGTATCAGTATAACCGTACAATGTCATGACGATGATCATCCCTCGCTTCCGGTCACAGCGAGCCCTTCCGATCCCCGCAGTCCCCGTCCTTCCGATGATACCCACTTAGTAGTATATATGGTACCTGAAGATCGTTCGTCCTTCCTTTAGACCCCTTTCTGCTCTTTCCTCCCAATTCCCGTTTGTTATTCCTCTCTGATGCCGGTCTCATCGGATCAAGTCTTCCCAGTCAGAGCCGTCAAGCTTGCTATACTCGCGCTCCGCTCATACCCTCCTCCTCCGTGGGTATCACCCTGTTTTTGCCCCTTCTTCAGTAGAGGGTTGTAGCCGGGTTCCGCCTGGCTGGAAGATCCTGGATGATTCTTGTGAGTAAGAGCTGGGTGGGTGTCGGGCGCGGTCAATCCGGGTCGAGATTGTGATTGTGCTTGAAGCGAGGGGAAGGCGAACGGCGAAGGTGTCATCGACCTCGATCTGATCTCATCCCAAAACATTCCCGCTCGATCAGCTCCGCTGCGTCTCGACCATTTTGCAACCTCCCCTGAAGTACAAAGTACTCACCCGGCCCCTCTCGTCCGGGTACCAACACTCGATGCAGCCTCACCAGCGTCATCCACCGGCGGTCTATCCCGACTAGCCAGTGTTAACAATAACGTCTTCAGATTAGGTAAAGTGTGCCTTGGGTCTTGGATCATGATCCCCGCTTGGATCATCATCTATGGTAATACCCCCAAATTCGATCGTCCGTTCTCAGCTTTACTCAAATTCGGAATCAGAGGGTTGACAGGGAGGCAGGGCTTACCATCTCGATATCCTTGTTGAGCAGGAAGATGGCGTACTCGTATCGATACTTCTCGATCCCCTTTGAGTATAGCGGGAAACTGCGGCCCAATCACAATCATTCCATCAGCTCATGCTCGGGTCCACCCTTGCGTTCTGCGCAAAGATGAGTCGAGTTTCGACGCACCTCCTAGGCCCTGTGATGACGGATATATTATCCCTGACCAAGCTTCTGCTCCCTAGACAAGTCACTGGGTAAAGCAGATCTTCGCCTATCATCTCCCCCAGCCTCTGAACACACATGGCCACCAAGCCTAGTGCCGTAGCCGTCGTCTCCTCATCCACCTTAATCCCAGGAGGTAAAAGGTTCGAAGGGATGTTCGCAGGTGGGGCCGGGGATTTTGGATCCGTCGGGATGGGTAAAGGAACGGAAAGGATGCTGTATAGCAACGTGGAGGGGTCCAGAGGGACGATGGGGAAGATGGTATCGAGCGTGTTGACAAGCCGAGCTCGATGTCGGTAGATGGCCGGGGATTGCGATTTCCGATCCTCTCTGCAAGATTCGTGAGACATGGTCAGACTGGAATGTCACCATCACGAACTGAAGCGAGACCAACATTTCGGCCGACACCCGATATTCTAGGTCGTCAGTCTGGCGATCTAGATCTGCAGTCTTTTCACCAGCTTGAAGCAGACGATCACGGCGGCTAGTCAAGTTCTTTCGCCGCTCCGTACATGCTCGTCTCACTAAGAAGCAACACAGATATATCAGCTCACATGCCAAAGGAACGCCTCGACCGTAACTAACCGTCTTCATTCGCCTGACGCAAACTAGAGATCCGTTTCTCGAGATTTACATTGGCGTTCGTCTTCTGGGCGTGCAATTTGATCTTTGGATATGCAATGGATCAGGCTGTGATCGACTCGCTCCGTGACCCGCTCGGACTAACCATTTCTTCACGTCGCTCTTGGTCCATCATCATCTTGACCCGCTCTTCAACCGCCTTGACCTCGGCCTCACCTTCCTTCAAGATCCTCGAGACGGCCACCAGTCGCTCGAGACCTTCGAGATCGACCGATTTTTGCATCTTGGTCTCGCGCATACTCCGCTCGACGATTGATTGTACGTCGCGGCGCGCAGGATAAGGGTTAGACCTACCGTCCTGCTTGTCGCTGGATGAAAAAGGCAGGTAGAACGCCTTGGATGGTGTCGGGGAGAAACGGACTATAAGGGTGTTATCCGGTAGTTCGTCTATCCGCTGATTCGACGCGAAGCATGGTTGATTAGCTCAGTCCTTTACTTTTCGAATGTGTGACCCGGACTCACATCCTCAGCGACCTCCCGCAAGTTCGTCAAATCGACAACCCCACCGAACCCTTCCAACTTGCGCCAATTTGCCGTCTCACCGCGCGCTGTGATATTGCGCTCCACTCCCTTCCTCGATTCGTACCACGCCTCGAGAAGCACCCTGTGTCCTGCAGCCTCCCCAGCCGACTCCCCAACCCAGTCCGCATAGTCACTCGCCACGCTGATCCCCGAAAAGGTGGGATATAACGACTTTCGATGTATAGGCGAGATGTAGAAGGGCGAGATCGGCTGAGTTTTCTGTTCGTGAGTCTTTTTCGATTTGATATCGTTCCTTTGTGGCGAATCTGCACCTTTCACGTTGGTAGCGGGTTTGAGGGTGTTGTTGGCTGGTTCTTCCTCGTACCCATTCAACGTCGTCTCGCTACTAGCCCGTCTTGAACCCATCTTTCCGCCCACAAATGTACCCGGTCTCAAGCTCGGACTCGTCGGTGGCGAATTCAACCTTGAATTGGGCGGAGAGGCCAACCGTGCCAGTCTATTTGGCGAGGCAGCAGAAGGCGAGGAGTTTCTTCTCGTGGGAGAGGTATTCCCAGGGTAAGAGACGGAAGCCGATCCTGCCCGGAGCGTATTCTGCCTCGAGGCTGGGGGGCGTATCCGGCTTCCCGGATTGACCGAGCTCTTATTGTTCTTGTTCGGCGATGGAACGGAAGAACTTGATGGGAACTTCGGCCTTGCCTCCCTCGGCGGTGTCGATGTCGAATTCGAACGACCAGGCGATTCCTTCGACTGGGATATCGTCTGAGACCCCCTTCGAGATCTCGGTTCTGGCGACGAAGCCGGGATCGTCGAGTGCCCAGCCCGAACCCGGCTGACAGCTCCGTTCGCATTTCCCACCCCCGTGCTATCTCTCCGACTCATCTTCGTCTCACTCAGCCTCCTGCTTAAACCACCCTTATCCACCACGCCGTCCACTCCTCCAGTCTGGCCATTCGTGCAAATCGAACCTTTCCCGCTCGCCTCCTCCTCATCCTCTTCTTCTTCCTCTTCTTGGGCTTTGAGAGCCGCCCGTAAATCCTCTACCAAGACCATCGTCACGAAACACCTCACCAGCTCCTTTTCTTCCCTCAAGACCGCTTCATCGAGGTTATACTCGAAATCGAAGTCCATCCCTTTCTCTCCTCCCGCCCGAGCCTCGGATCCGGATGCGGTACCTACATCTGCACTCGCGTTCGTCGCCTTATTACCGCCGGTAGCGCCGTGAATGTCCTTCTTCTCATAACCCAATTCGTCCGTCAACGTGACATGCCCTGCAGTGTCGATCGCGTACTGGGAGACTATCGTCGATGCCCTTTCTCTCCTCCCTCCCATGCCCATACCAGTACCAGCGCCCGAGCTCGTAGATGCCTGGTTGTGCGAATGGTGGGTGTGAATGCCATGATAAGGATGATGTGCAGAACGTAGGGAAGAGATGGACCCCGACCTCGCTCTCGACTGGGCTTGGCCGTGAGGTTGCGCTTGAGTTTTTGATTGAGCTCTCGCTTCTTTTCCCCTACTTTCTCCCTGCCCGGAGCATTGTAGGATGTCCACCCCTTGTCCCCCAGTATCACCTCGCTCTTCCGCCTCTTCATTCGGTATAGCAGCTGGTCTGGGAACGATCAACCGACTCCGACTCCTCCCATGCCCATGTCCATGAGTGACCAACCCGGGCCTCGCTCCGAAACTTCTCGATCCGGCTTGCGGAGAAAGATGGGACGGCGTCGGTGGTTGAGGTTGTTCGGTGATGGTATCATTACTAGAAGCCCGCCTTGGTATCAACCTTGGAGATCGGGTTATCCGTCCGAGTGAGGAAGAAGATATCGACCGTCGTTGATTCAATTCTGGTAGTATCGAGGTCCCGCTCTGGATTTCCCCGTCAGGTTCTTCTTCGATGACCGCAACCTCTCCACCTCCACTCCCGTTGATCCGATCTTCGGCTATCTCCCGTACATCTCTCAATGAATGAGAATGTGCGCTTCCTTGGCTCTTTCTCCGTGGTATATACTCCGATACTGGCGAGCCTGGGCCTTCCGGTTGAGGGGAGGAAGGTCCGAGCTTGTGCTCCCCATCTTGCTCTTGCCGTTCAGCTAGATGAGCGTGAATGTCGAGGTTATGGATCCGGATCTCGGTGATATGACGTATCCGAGGCTGATAGTATTTCATCCCGATCATCAGTGATACGAAATTATAAGATGGTTAAGTCATGTTATAGCTATAGATCATAGACTCACTCGACTGAGCAGGTCCATAGCTGTTCCATCATCTCCGGGACCTGCAGTGGACGCCGACATGGCTCGCTCCTGCCCATATAGTCAGGCCTTGTTCGACCCGCTTTTTCCTTGTACAGTCTCGAGAGCTCTATCTCATCCTCGCCGGGATCTGTCGCCGATGGCTATTCTCGTTCGTGACCTGTATCTCGACGAACGGCACATACTTCACATGTCCCAAAGATGACATGACGCATCGACGGGTCAGTCCGAAGTTCAGATTTGCTTCCGCACAACTTCGGAGCAGGTGGTCGATCGGGTGACCATATCACTATAACATGCTCAGCTGTTCCTTATAGCGATTGTTTGTATATCACCTCGAGAACTCAAAGCCGCTCCAGACGAATACTTTGGCAGGATCCAGGAGTACTGCCTCGAGACTCCTCCTGCAGCCGAGACTGAGCATGCTCTGCACCCCGATCCGCGGCATCTCAATCGCAAGGTCCATCCACATCCGAAATCTACCTCACCGCAAATCAATCGTCCTAGCCTTCGTCCACCAATACAGAAGTTTCAGCGTCAGCATGTCGAGTCAAGCTGGGAACAGGTCATATAGCGTGAGTCGGATGCTTCCTCAGCCCTTGTGCTAGGTTGCCGAGCTGATAAGTCGTCTTTGAAACGTCAGGACGCGATCGAGCTGCTCAATTCTTGTCAATCCAACGCTGCTACGTGAGTCTCCATAAGCTGTTCCTCCTTGATGCTGCATCTCCGGGCGATTCTCATAAGCTCAATTCTTGGTAGTATTGAAGCTATCCGCAAGTCCGGTGGGAAGCTGAACCAATATGCCATCCCGGAGATGATCGAATACCTGCGTCGGATCGGTTATCGCGTGAGTCTTCCCATCTACCCCCCTATCATCCTCAAATTCCTATTCCATTACAACCGCCTCCTCTTCCGGACCTCATATAAGCTCAAACCTCTGACTGGACTATGCAAAATCTCCTCTTCTTCTGTTATACCAGCCCGAAGACCTGAACGCCCTCAACGTAATCCACATAACAGGGACGAAAGGAAAAGGTTCTACCAGCGCGTTCGTCGAGCGAATCTGTCGGGGCAAGATCCAGGAAGAACAGGCCGGTTCAGGAAAGTTGGTTGGTGAGGAGGAGAACGGGTTGGATTTGGAAGGGTTTGAGGAGGACGAGAAGGAGTGGGTTGGAGGAATCGGTAAGTCTTGATGTTGCATGCGGCTATGAGCCTGAAGTAGGAAGAATATCGTAACTAGAAAGCTGACTGACATGTACTCTCGTGTACGTTGCAGGTCTATATACCTCGCCTCACTTGTGTGCGGTTCGAGAACGGATCCGAATCAACGGCCACCCGCTCCCAGAAAAGATCTTTGCCAAATACTTCTTCCAAGTCTGGGACCGTCTCTCTTCCCACAACTCCTCTCCAAACTCACAATCCCACGCTTTGGAGCCTATCCCGGACCCTCACGTCCCGCAAGACCACTACACCTCCATCCCTGAAAAACCTGTCTACTTCCGCTTCCTCACCTTGCTCTCATTCCACGTCTTCCTCTCCCTCAAGATCAAGCTCACCGTCCTCGAAGTCGGTATGGGCGGGACTTACGATTCCACCAACGTCGTCCCCCGGCCTCTCGTCACCGGGGTGACGGCATTAGGGTTGGACCATACGTTCATGCTGGGGGATACGGTCGAAGAGATCGCTAGGAATAAAGGAGGGATCTTTAAAGAGGGGGTACCGGCCTTGGCGGTCGTACAGGAGAAGAGCGCCAAGCGTGGGGAGGGGGTCTTGAGGGACCGGGCGGAGGAGTTGGAGGTGAGTTGATCAAGGGCGACTGTTTCGATTGGGGAGGAGCTGATGGACCTACGTATCATTTCTTGCTGAAAAGGCATCGTCTTTCGACCTTGTGCCGGTCTACCCGGAACTCAAGCCTATCAAATTAGGTAAGAAATGTTGAGACGAATAAATACATCTGGCCAAACCGCTAACCACCTGATTCAACAGGTCTGCCCGGCTCGCACCAAGTAGTCAACGCTTCGCTCGCCGTCGCGATGTGTAAAACCCTCTTGTCATCACCCGACCTCCCACCTTCGCTCGCACCGTATCACGAACCCGCATCCACCTCGGACGTCCCTCCTTCATACATCCCTTACATTGAAAAGACGCGTTGGCCTGGAAGGTGTCAGACCGTGATCGACCCGCTTTCGGATGCAGAGGGGAATGTGACGACGACTTGGTTCTTGGACGGGGCACATACGGTCGAGTCCCTCACATCGTGTGGAGAATGGGTGTATGGGCCGGACGGGATGGATTCCACTGCAACTCCCTCATCAACGGAAGGAATACCGAGTCGACGTAAACGCAGAGTGTTGATCTTCAACTGCACGTCCGGACGATCCGCATATGCGTTGCTCGGAGCGTTATTGGATGCGGGGAAGAAGGCTACTGGGAAATCGTCAGCGGATGTAGGCAGCTGGTTCGATCGGGTCATCTTTTGCACCAACGTTACCTACGTGGATGGGCATTTCAAGGGCGGTGAGTGATAGTCGGTGATAGCTTTCTCGCGTGATGAAGACTAATCTGCACCGGGCTCCCTCTTTCAGACCTAACCTCGAAGGCCATCGACCCTAACGACCTGTCAGCCTTAGCCACGCAACATGCACTCTCGGCAGCATGGTCCGAGCTCGTTCCGACCTTCTCACGAGAACGGGTACATGTTGTCCCCAGCATTCAGCACGCCGTCAACATCGTACGGGAGACGGGCAAGGCCAAGAAGGAGGACGTACAGGTGTTAGTCGCTGGAAGCCTGCATCTCGTTGGGGGGACGATGGAAGTGGCGGGGTTGGCGGAAAGGGCTTTGAGCGTAGCTTGAGCGCTGCGGTTGTATATTGATGGAACATATTGTTGTATACCAGAACTGATCAATGCAGACACGAATAGCACAAACAGCGGTACTGGGCTCTAGGGCCCGGTTGTCATTCGCCCGGGAAATTGATCTGCTGCTACGATCGCGTGTGGGATGCCTGACATCGCAGGCGAGCTTCTGAGAATGTACTATTGCAATCGTTATGTGCCCGCTACTACACTGCCTAGCGAAACGGCAGGGAGTGTCCCGACAAAGGAGGCGTTCGCTCGCCACATCGATGACCAGTCCAGGTGGTCGCTGATCAGGTCACGCGGCCATGTAGACTGAAAAGAAGGAGAGGGAGTGACATTATGCGTATTCACCTGCGGAGGAACAACTGACCGATACTATGAATCGCGGAGGGAACGCCCTCTTGTCATCAAAGCATGATTGATAGTCAACGCATGTTGGTACTTGAACGTCGACATTTGCCGTGTCAGAATTCAGAGAGAACGCCATCAAGCCTTCTCGTCATGGCAAGCGCGTCGAGTTTCCCAGACGCATGGTCGAGGTGCGATGCAGGCAGATCAGTAGGTCATACTACCACTCCGATAGCAGTGTTTTCATCACCTGGCCATATGGACTGTCAGCTGATACTAAACGGTAGCGTGCCGGTCGCCTGACGCTGACTATGACCAAGACATCACCTGACCAAGCAAGGTTGATCAAAGGAATGCTTAGTTTCCAGCGCCTGAGAAGCAAGTCAGTATTCGGTAGTATGCATATAAGGATTCCAGGTGGAAGAGGGAAATTCGTTCAGTAAAATAGTCCTGGTGCACACTCTCCTCACTCGCTGCATATCACTCAACTCTCTCTCTCTCTCTCTCTCTCTCTCTCTCTCTTGCCCAAAATGCCGTTCGAAATGAAAAATCTGAGATTAGCCATGATACGCATTGAGGATATCATGGTCCGAACCTTGGAAACTTGCAACCAAGACGAAGGACACGACCCATGTGAGTTCTGGAGAGCTGCATGTCAACAAATTGCAGAGCTGCCGATACCGGCAAACAGAAAGTTCCCTCAGATTTGTGCCGGTTTCAGGAGTGTATACGCCCTGCATGCCGAAATGGAGCAGAATTGGGTCAAAGAGGGGGCGTCAGAGAACGACAAGAGGTATCTACTCGACTTCTTTGTCAGGGCTTACGAAATCTCCCTCACTCGTCGCATGCTCGCCGAGGTTGCTGACATGACCGAGTTTGAGTTGGAGAGGGTGATCTCTATGGCCAGATTCCTGGATGACAGCGTGACTCAAAGGATGTCTTTGCGCGCTTGCACAAAGGAGGACGCAAGTTACTGCGAGATGAGAAAGAAATTCCGCGACCTACTGTTGGACTGCTACCGCTTTTACTACCTTTCACAAGATCACAATTCGAAGATTGCGCAGTGGTTTGGTGTGCGGGAAGCTTGTCAAGGGATGAAAGAAACCCACAAAGCCGACTTTCTCCCTAACAACGACTTGCTATACGATGACACGGCGAGTAGCTCTAGGTTCACTGCACCATCCCTAACCTCTAGAGCAAGATCTTCCGCTCTCAACATGTGGTCTAGCATAAAAGAGATGAGCATTGGCAGCAACTCCGCCTCAGGAGCATCCAAGAACACCATCGAGCCAGGATCGACGAACACCGCTTCTTAAGCTCTCCCAACGTCCAGGTTCAGCCAAGGGATACAGACACGAGCGATTCACGCAGACTGATTCTATAGCAAGAGAAGATGACACATGTATGTATTTAAATCGCTCTTAATGTACCGTTATGTCATGTCATGTTGTATAAAATTCGCCCAGGAGTCATACTTGTCTGCTATTAGTCTTCGTAACAAGCATTTGCTGTACGCTACAGATGATCATAAGATGCCGTGCATAGTCATACCATCGAGACGACACGATCTGTAGACATGCGAAGTTACTGTATCTCATCGTAGTCACCTCATTGTTCTACTGTCAATCATCTGCTCACGTCAGACTTATGTCATCATCATTATTATCGTAGGTCCAGGTGTGGGCGATTCTCAAAGCTGGAAGAACGTGCCAGATGACTGCTTACAGTATCCAAGTATCGTCATGAGCTGCCATCGGGCATCTAGTGACGCGACCAGGGAAGAAAGGAAGGCCTTGGTTCTCAAAAACAGAGAAGCATGCCAAACAACTGACTATAAAGCTGGAGGCAAAGATTCGATCTAGCAAAGGGATTGTACCCCTCGTGGATTGTACTGGACATCTCGTCCATTCTTTACACCAACTCTCCGAATCGCAATGTTGACAAACGAAGCGAGATACAAAGTACTTAAAGATATTTATTCCGACGTGGACGAAAAGCTACGAGATGAGTTAGAGTCTATCTACAGTTGGCGTAGCCTAAGTGCCAGAGCCTCGGATAAAAAGTCGTTCACACTCGAGGTATGGACTCTCATTTCTGCTCAATTCAAGCACTTGGCGCTCGCGTCGATCCAGCAACTTCATGAGCGACCGTGGTGTCCGGTATTCAAGGAAATGATGGTGATGTTGCGGAGGAGATTGGATCAACTGGCAGCGACCGAAGAGGAAAAAATGGATCTATGGATGTACGCGGTCAGATGTTACGAGATGCTGATGGTCCGTCAGATGGTTATGGAGGCCGTCGAGGCGAGGCCCTACACGAAATATGAGGAAACCCTTTCAGTCTTTACCGAGATCTTGGATCTGGCAAGTTTCGAGGGGAAGTTTGCATTGAAAGGCTGGGACGGGGGACCTACGGGATTCTACGAGAAGAGGCAAGAGTTTGCAGACTTACTGCAAGCTGCGAAAACAGGGGAGCGGGACGAAGTTCATGACCACTTCAGGGAGTTCTACCTGCGGTTCAGTAACCTTGACACCAGTCCGGGAAGGCAGGATTTCGTCATGCATGGATCATTTACCGCCTCTACAAGTGAATATCCTGAATCGCCTGGAAATAGCCTCTGGGACGTGTTCCAGGAGACAGTCCCCTATTTGACATCGTTCACGAGCGCCTCAGGACCCACGGCCACCTCTGGCTCGGGCGCTTCCGGAGCAGGGAATAGAACCTGGCATCAGGCATCGAATCATGTCTAGCTTCTCACCACTTGATCATTGATAACATCCAGCCCAAAGTTTGTACGTTACATCGAACGAGAATTCGTTTGTAGTTACAACGTGTGCTTATATCATTATCTCAAGTCATTTCGTCTGTTTTTGACGGATCGCAAGAACCCTGCGCGACAGCTATCCTCTCACGACCTCACACAAGCATGCAACTTTTACGTCGATTTCGATAGGTCGAGGGCGTTCATACGATTGAAGCATTTTGAAGTCATGTTCTCTCTCAGGGTAACATAAGCAGGCTTAGTCTCGCTTGTGTTCCGAGGGATCGCTGATGCAAAAATCATATCTGACAGGACGGCGCTAAGTCAAAGCCGAGCCGACGGCTCTTGGCTGAAACGCCGGCGAACCCCGTGATCGATGCCCGCGGGTCGCCAAGGTTTAGCCGAGGACGACGCATGATCGCATGGGCGCAGCGCATGGTGTTGATCAAGAAGGACATGGTGCACAATGACGATGATGACGTCGACCGGATTTACCGGGGCACTAGCGAGAGGCAGGTTCAGGTAGCTGATGCTTCTTCACGGTTCCGAGATCCCCCATACATCTCATATGATCATATGCCATGCGAATCAGCTCCACGTCTATTTCCGTTCGCGCCTTGCCTTGTCTCGGTCGATCCATGTGGATTCAAGTGAAACAACAAGGTCAAAGGAGGGCGACGACATTCGCAGTTCAATCGCGATCAGGTGATGGACCAGTCGCGCCAGTCGATTAGTGAGCTAGCAGGTGCGCCATGTGCCCAAACAACTATATAAGTATCCCAGCGACGAACGCAAGAAGACAACACTCGCCCATTCCCGACAAAAGAAAGTCAAATTAATCCCACTCAATCATCTAACATGATCTGCCCTACACTTCTCACCCTCATTGCGGCACTTAGCTTGACCACCGCCACTCCGGTCAAACGTACTGACGCATACCTGTTGCACGCGAAAAACAGTCCCGACAACGTGAGCTACACTTCACCCTGTTCATTTTGCCTTGCACCGAGATCACACTATAGTCTAGCTTGACTGACACACTGAACGACCTACCATATTATGATAGTGCCTCGGAACCACCGGAGATCTCTACAACGGGATCAGCCTCCAGAACGTTCCTTGCTCCGAGGCCGAGACCAACCCGCGATTCAAAGGCAAGTGGGAGATCGTCCGCGGGAACAACGAGAACGGGATCAGGCTCTCTGGGACGGATTATTGCTTGGATGCTACGTTGCGTGGGTCGAACTTTTTCATGTTTGACGATTCAAGGATCGTCTCCGTCGAGTGAAGAGGGCTGATAGACTGCGGGCCGGGGTAGCTTTGACCGATACGGGGGATATCACGCTGTGGACTTGTCTACCTGGGACCGCTCAGCAAACGTGAGTCCCGACCCTTCTTCTAGACGAGAGTCACAAGAGCTGACAGGTTACCGATAATTCAACCCAGGTTCTACTATACCGGTAAGCCCCCTTCCAACTCCACCGCCCCAAACGTCGTTTAGTGCTTGACCATCATCTCAATCTCACACACGTCGTTGTCTCTGTCGCGTGCATAGATGACGACCATATCGCCCTAACAGACCAAAACAGCTGTCTAGACTTCAACGCAGGCGGGTGCGGCCAATTCACCTGTGCGCCAGGTCGGAGGGCTTGTGGAACCGGGCCGGACGCTCTGGCTGGAGGACAAGAATGGACCGTCGTCTGAAGTTCTGACCGAGAACTGATGTTGCCGGCGATGGTGTTGATAGTAGTGACCAGGGTCAGGATGGTACAGGCGGAAATTAGAGCGTTATCAGTTGGAAGCGGAACTAAGCGCAAACGAATGGAGCCTTTGAATCGTGATGTACAATGTAAATCAGCCGAAACAAGTCACCAGTAGGATAAACAATGCAGAATTTTCAATTTACGACTCATCTCGATCTTACCGACCGCCTTTATCCCCGGTGGCTTCCAAGTGTCTCGCTTCAGGTGTTAACTTCATCTTGTTCGAACCGCCAAACTCTAACTCGGATATTCCCGGGCAGATGGCGATAGAGCATTATGACTCAAAACGCTCAAAGAGCACCCATCGATGCTCTGCCGTCGTTAAGCAAAGTCGAAGTACCGCCATCAAGCACCCCGTCTATGCGTATGGAATCGTCTTTGGTGTCTCGACCATCACCGTAGACGAGCGATCTAGCTGATCAGGACCGAGGTCCAAACGTCCTTATGGAGAGCCACCGGTCAACCGAGCGGTACAGGAGGAGGACGACGTCGAGGGCAGCAAGAACGAGGAAGAATAGCAAGACTAGGGGATTCATAAGACTCATCTATATGCCAGATGACGGCCATCCGTATGACCTAATACACGCCAACGCTCACCCCTCCCTCTCTTCCCTCTCCTCCCGATCTTCCACCCCCTCGTGTCCCTTCCCAGCCCCTTCCTCTATCCACCTCTCCACCCACCCTTGCACCCTCTCCACATTCCCCTCCATCTCCCCCTCTACCACCCCACTGCTCTCGAGCACCACCACGATCTCTTCCGCATAACTCTCCCTAGTCTCCTCCAACACCGTCTGCATGATCTCCGCGGTGACGTTCTCCGTGATCTTGTTCTGCTCGTACCCCCTATCGGCGAGACGTTGGTAGAGTATATCGTTGGGGCAGGTGTAGACTACGGCGAGGTCGATCCAGCGTTCGGGGAAGAGGGAGGGGGAGTGGTGGTCGATTATGAAGCCTGTTGGGGCGGGGCCTGAAGGGGGATTGAGGAGAACTTCTAGGTAGTCGAGGAGCTGCGAGAGTCGAGATCAGGGCAAGGCACCGAGACGATAGTTCAAGTATATTCAACCGAGTAGCAAAGGACAAAGCTCCAGTCAGTACGCCAGGCCATCCGTACCACTCGTCCCAACCTGTGAGCCTGTGAACGCACCTTGTCCTCATCCATAACCCACGACTTCCACTCCTCATCCCACCCTTCATGGAACCCTTTCTCCTTGACCAGCTCGCTGACGTTGATATGCTCGAACTTGCACTCGGACGTTGATGTCACCGAGGCGAGGTACTGTGCGTGGGTGGATTTGCCTGTCCCGGGGGTACCGGTCATGAGGATGATCGGGAATTCTCTGGGGTGGTGAGTGGTCATCGTGAGGGTGTCGTCGTGTGCGTACGGAAGTGGTAGGTATGAAATATGCTGTGTCAGCTGATGGCGATTGAGAATGATGTGAGCGGGTTGAATCGTTGTCGAGGATCACGATGAATCGAATTTATGAACCCTTGATCTAACTTTACTCGAAAGTTGCAAGAGAGGTAGCTTCGGCGTGACCCGGGGCTCCCCTTTTCACGGACATTACCATATTTTGCGCGGTGGCGTTATGTTTCAGACGGGACGACCAAAGTGTCTGAGTTGCAATATGTTCATTTACATGTATATGAGATTGTGACAGTGTAGTACAGAACCTCAAGAAATACGGCAGTAAGTACAGGGACAATTGGCAAAGCGGAAAACCGTGTCTGAAGTCGATGCATATGGCTCCGACTTTAGATGGACTACGGTTTCTTAGGAGGGGTGGTATTCCAAGTCCCGTCCTCGTTGTACCCCCAGAATGTGTTCAGACCAGTGTACTCTGCCCAGATCTTGCTACCCTTCCCATGCAGGTAAGGGTTCGGTAAAGTACCATTGTGATGCTTGTTAATGTATGCTTGCACCATCTGAGGAATTGGAGGAAGACCGTTATCGTGTTCATCATTGCTGGAGGTGTCATTACTGGAGAAAGACCGTCAGTGAGTACTGAAAAATTCCAAGTAATGTGCATTCCGATTCTCGACTTACAAGGCTAGATTGAACGCTTTCTGAGCTTTCTCTCCTCCAGCCGCAACAATTCTTGAGAGTTTGTCAAAAAATCCATCGTCAAACACGAGCGGGTAAAATTCGCGGGTTGAAATCATTTCTTCAGCAGGCTTGCGTGGTTCTGCATTTTTTAGCGGTTTCCCATTTTCACCAACGGTAGGCGTGATCCTAAGACAAAAGAATCAGGCCAAGTCCAAGACAAATCCAGCACAGTCACTCACTGGAACCGCACGTAAACATCGTCTTCAAATCCAGGATTGGGATATAATTGATGGAACACAACCGTTGATTCGGAGATGGGATAATCCTGGTCATTTTCGGTTGGTGAAGCCTTTCCACCACACAGGGGCGCTATCGCAAAAGGTACCCCATAGGTATCCGCCATGTCTTTCCCATCGAGTTTGTCTTTGCCTCTCTGCTTCATATTGCTGTATGCTCCGAGCTGCATTAGTCCCCACTTGAAATAGAACTGTATTCATGGTCGAGGATGAAACTCACGGGTAGTACATCACCACATCACACCGTTCTGACTCGGACAACTCTTTCAAAATGCCTCCAGGAAAATTCCTAGCTTTGGCCGGGTTCCAGTAGGTACTGGATCGCAGACTAGCTGCGTCATCACTGCTTTTGGCGGAGTCCAAGAATTGCATCAGGAATCTCCACTCTGAGCCGTCCTTTGAGGCATCCGCTGCTACTAGAGGGAGGATACTGGCGGTGATGGCTGACAACAAAGTAAAGGAGACCATGTTGTTTCAGTCTTGCGCAATATGATAATGAAGTTGATATATTGTCAAGGTCTCTCCTGGCTTGCAGTATAAAGACAAACACAGGGGTATGAGCCGGTCAGACATACTCGAGTTCATATCCGCAGCTATCTATAGCCTCCTGGTCACACATAGAACAAAAACATGTAGCAAGGGGTTTACCCCTTAGTATCGATATGGACCAGGGGACTTCAAAGGAGTGTCAACGTCTCCGCCTTGCTCTTGCCACGATGCTAGACAACACGTATCAAGGAACGCTTCGAAGGGGCACATCAGGGGTTCAGGGACGATGAAGTGGTATACGGTAAAACGAGCAGGCCGAGACTTTGGTCGAACGTTTCAGGCTTCTCTCTGTTGCGATTTGATCACGCAACCAAGCCCTTCCCGTCCGGTTGTGCAGTGAGTCTCGTCAAGGGATGATAGTCATAGCCGTCTCTGTGTCTTGCAGTATGATGCCATCGTCTTTACACGCGCACTACCCCTCTGATATGATCGGCGAGCGATAGCTCGGTCGCGCTCGAATTGTCACCTTGTCATCCCCGTCGACCTTCTGCCGATCGCGAATCCGAGCTTCCAATTCCTCAACTTTCAACTCTCTGCGCCGACCGTTCGTCGTCCCCCTCCGCCTCCATCTCGATCCCACTTCCTGGACTGGCCTGAACCTCAACCTCGTCCTGGTCTCGATCACGCCCATCGCTCCGCCCAGATCTCGACAGCCCGAACCCTTGGAAACGCTCACTTCTGATCGGCCAGAATAGGTCGTGAACCGCGATGATCAAAAGAATCGGACGCGAACTCAACGCGAAACGCAATGTGTTGGTTGTAAATACAATGCTATACCATACTTTACAATCATGTCAGTCCATTCTGACGATACTCTCATTCCCCCTCTCTCGACTTCCCGTGCATCCCATCGTCCGACTCGATCCTCCTCGCACCCCTTCTCCCCTCCCCATGGTCCCGTCTATCTCCACTCCCAGTTCACTCTCACCCTCACCCTCACTTCGTCTCCTCGCCCGTATAAACCTTCAACCCGTTCGAAGCGTACGGATCCACCTCGCCCGTCGTGATCTTCAACCGGGCCAGTCGACGGTCCCGGAAGGTGTTTTTCGGTAACATGCCTGATACTGCTTTTTTGATTATCTGTTGTCGATGTTGTTACCAGGATCAGGTTAGGTGAGATTAGGTCGGGTGAGGGGGAGGGAAAGCGGGTAGAGCGAGGTTGGAGGTCGAGACAGGGAGATTATGGTTGGTGATGAGATGAGTTGAGTGTCGGATTTGTTGGTTGAGGGATCGGAGGAGATCAGGGAGAAACGCGGCGCGGATCAGCTCCCATCCCACATCTTTTTACACCCCCCGACATCCAGAAAAGACCCATCACTCACATCCTCTCCTCTCCTCTCCCTCATCCTCCCGATAGGTACCTCCTTCAACCCGCCCATGAACCCCGAATAGTGTCGGTACACTTTATCCTCCGATTTTTTTCCCGAGAGGTGGACTTGCGTGGCGTTGGTTACTGATACGTAGTCGCCGGCGTCCACTGAGAGGTTTCGGAACAGGGTGGATAGGGCGATAGACAGGTTGAGTGTGTAAAGGAAGAGAAATGCAGGGAAACATCGAGATGCATATCATATCGATCGGGATTCGTTTGATCAGCACGCCCGAATTCAGAATTGATAGACCACGAAACGAGATCGCGGGGACTGACCTGCCGGATCATAAGTCGGTTTATGTTTCCCCATCAACACATAAGCTATCCGACTTGCGAGCTGTCCGAGGGTCCTGCCTGATGCGTCGACTTGGTGCCATTGACGGGTGAATGCGAGTGCGGTCTGCGTTAGGAGCGAGGGGTAGCGAGAGGGTTAGCTTCGTCTGATCATCGGGTCTGCGTGGGATGATTGAAGGTTGGCTCACTTTTCCTCTTGTTGATGCCATGATGAAGAGCGGGTTGTGAATCCTCTGAGAGCTCGACCTGCATCGATCGTGACGAGTGTCGAATCGAGTTGTGAACATCATCTTGGGTCAAGAAATCAAAGGTCGATGCATGGTAGATACATGGTCGACTTGGAGTCTCAGCTCAACTGTCGCGTGGTCTACGTCGAGTCTCAGCCCAAGAGGATGCCTCCCCAGATCATCATCATCATCGTCGATGTCATTCAACAACAACCTCGATCATCACCCTTCGACTGCTCGCTGCTCGACAACGACTTCATAGCAAACTATCTTCATCTCTCTCGGTTTCTGCTCTCAGTCTCTTTCCATTCTCATCTCTCTGTTCTCTCTTTCTCTCTTTCCGGGATCTAGTCGGACTTGGCTCTCTCTTTCTCTCTCTCGGCGCTCTCGCTCTCGCTCTTCTCCGTCTCGGCTCTCCCCCTTTTGTCTAACGAAACCACCACGGCCAACTACCGACAAGCTATACCGCCTACACCTCGCCTCTACACCTCCACATCGCTATCACCACTAAACCCCAACTGCATTAAAGCAACCATGTCGACCCCTCAACAACCCGGACAATCGCAATCCCCCGTACCTGTCGGTACCCCGGCAGGAGGAGCTTCGTCGTACGGGATGATGTCTCCCCCTCAGCAACAACAGCCTCAGGTTGCGGCTGGTCAGAGTATGGCTGTTGCTGGGGTAGATAGCACCGGGGTGAGTCGACTCAGCCACTTATATTCATCGCTTATCAGCTGTACAAAGGGGTTATCGTTTTGCTGACCCTGACATTACCACGCCATCTTCGGTCTCGACTTCGATATCGATCCTATTCGGTCTGTTTTGATTCATACGCCTTCGGAACCTACATAGCAACAACGACGAGCCCATCTCTACGTCGGATGTCTCTCCCCTCGTGTAACCGAGCATAGTAAGCCTTCTTTGCGTTCCTTTCTGTCTTGCCGTTTACTTCCTTTCGTTGAATTCTCATTGCCTCAATCCGCTCTCCTCTTTTCATCCCACCTCGTTTCATATTCCGTCCCGTCCGTTTCGCCGTCCACTCACCCCCTCCCCCCCCTCTAGTGCTCACCGAGATCTTCGCCGTCGCCGGCCCCGTCGCCCAAGCCAAGATCATCCAAGACCGAAACTTTCAGCACGGCGGTCTCAACTACGGTTTCGTCGAATACTCGGACACCCGTGCTGCCGAACAAGCCCTTCAGACGCTGAACGGTCGAAAGATCTTTGATACCGAGATCCGCGTCAACTGGGCTTACCAGACCCAATCCCAGACCGCCGCTTTGGGAGCTACCGCAGGAGCAGGTCCGAACGCCGGGGTGGCAGGGGTGATGGCCCCGATGATAGGGGGCACCGGTCAACCGGGCATGTTGACGAACAAGGGCAAGGAGGATACGCACAACCACTTCCACGTGTTTGTCGGTGATCTCAGTCCCGAGGTGAACGACGAGGCGTTGACCAAGGCGTTTGGGGCGTTCCCGACGATGAGCGAGGCGAGGGTCATGTGGGACATGAATTCGGGCAAGAGTAGGGGGTACGGGTTCTTGGCTTTCAGGTGAGGCAGCGCATCGCGACAGGATAGATGATCATCGAACGAGAGCTGACGCTTTCTGCATCTCTACCTTTGTTTTGGCCGACCGACCCGATTCCTGTTCGTAGAGAAAAGTCGGACGCCGAACAGGCCATCTCGACCATGAACGGAGAATGGCTCGGATCTCGAGCGATCCGCGTCAACTGGGCCAACCAAAAGACCCAAACAGGTGGTTCTCGAGTCGGAGGGATGGCCGGAGGGATGGGCATGGGCATGGGAATGGGCATGGCTTCCTCTGGAGGATTCACCGGCGCCCCAGCTCCTTCCAACTTTTCTGGCGGCCCGCTCGATTTCGAGACCGTCGTCTCCCAAACCCCGGCTTACAACACCACCGTCTACGTCGGCAACCTGATCCCTTATTCCACCCAGGCGGACCTGATCCCCCTGTTTCAGGGGTACGGGTACATCGTCGAGATCCGTATGCAAGCCGATCGGGGGTTCGCGTTCGTCAAGCTGGACACGCACGAACACGCCGCTCAGGCGATCGTCAACTTGCAAAACTATCCGGTACACGGACGTCCGATCAAGTGTTCCTGGGGTAAAGATCGGGAGGGTGGAGCGGCTGGTGGTACTGCAGGCGGGATGGGAGGGATGGGCCAAGTGGCACCTGCTCCGGGTGTCGTACCCATTCAACAGGCCGGGATGGGCATGATGGGCGGTTACCCAGCGATGGTGAGCCTCGCGACGCAATAAACGCCGATAATCTCGTGAATGAGATTGGCTGACGAGATGAACCTGAACAGATGTACGGGATGCAACCTAATGCTTATGCGCAGTATGCCGGATACCCGGGTTACCAGGCTTACGGTCAGCCCGCTGCTGCCGGCGCCGCCGTCGCTCCCGGTGGAACGCCTCAGCAGGTGAGTGTCCCTTCTTTCAGAACAGGACGACTTCCGCGCTGCATTGGCTGACACATTATCCGTCACCTTGTCGCAGGCCGCTTATTGGCAGACCCAACAAGGAGCCGGTCAGTGGGGCGCCTACTACGGTGGTCAGCCCGGACAATCTTCTTGATAGCATGCGCTCGGGAGGATTCGTGTTGATCAGATAGATGGACGGAAGTCTTGTTGTCCTACTGACTCGTTTAGATCGCGTACCGCATATAGAGCATATTTTGTAATCGAGGTGGCCTGCATAGATACATTCATACAAGAAGCCTGCCCGATCAGGCCTTAGGTTTGTGACTGCTTGTCTGATCCTTCGCCCTGCGGACTGAAAGTGGTCTTGGCGCCTTCAGGCGCGGTCTTTGTCTCATTCGAAGGTGACGTGAACTTGATTATATCCCGACTCCTTACTAAATGGCGGTCCAATTGCAAGTGCTGGGTTGTCCGGGTTAGGGGGATGATGGGGAGGGTCGATAACCTGCTAGACCAATATCTACCCTTAGGTATGTGGACAGTCACGGGAGCGGGCTCTGATGTTGTGATGCGAGAGAAACTTTAGCTCTCAATGACATCCAGCAATGACATGGTGAGAGCAAGTCTCACCTTTAGGCTTTCTCTTGCCAGGTTGAGAATCCGTCCTTTGAGTTGAATCTTTGACCTGTCCATTACGATCGGCCCTTCTGGCTGGTCGTCCTGCGTATGGTCAATCGAATAATCGTCAGTAGAGACCTCGCGTAAACAGTCGGCTTGTCGCCTGCAGAATACTGACCTTCCCCGATACCGTTTCTATCATGACTATCAGCCCTTGTCGAGAATCGCCTCATTCCTGCGCCTACGGCAGTCCAGATTCAACATCCGTCAGAGGATAGGGTCAGAATCTGTACAGCTTTCGTTGCACAGAAAAGGCCGGACTCACCTTGTACGGCCGAGGACACCGTAAACCCTTTCGTTCTCGTCTTACTTTCAAGGCCACTAAGAGTCCGTTCCGCCAATAGCAGGAACTCTTCAGGCATACCAGCCTGCTTGGCCGCTTTCTGCACGGGTACAAATGATCAGCCTTGGTCTCGATTATTCGATTGCAGCGAGGCATACTATAGCGTGCGACTGCCGGTTGACGCCAGGTTTCAGCCGGTACGAATATGCAAAGCGGTCGTCCTGGTCTCTCGGGAATCGTTAGCTCATCTAATTGTATGCCACAATCCTCCCTTCTCCTTTGCTCTTACCACTTCATCTACATCGGTGCACCAGAACTCGACCCCCGGTCTCGTCGTACGGTGACCCTCTTCATCTATCGTCGTTAACATGTCGTAAAGTTCGTGATAATGCGTGGCGAAGAGCGTTTTGCTCTTATTGTGTCGTAAAATATAGTCAAGGGCCGCGTATGCGATCGCGATGCCCGAATTAAGAGTCGTGCCTCTTCCAATCCTAATGTGCATCAAGACATCACTTTCAGCTTTGAGCAGCATCCGTGATACACAAACCGCACGTACTCGTCCATAATCACCAATGATCGTGATGTGGCTTTGTTGAGGATATGCGCAGTCCTGGAGCAAGCCAAGTCAGCATTACAGTCTATCAATTTGCTCTCGGTGCCACTTACTCATGCATCTCCATCATGAAAGTACTCCTGTCCATGTAAAGATCGTCCCGGGCGCCGACTCGGCTGAAGACAGCGTCAATGATACCCAGCCTCGCCTTGTCGGCCGGCACAAAGCTTCCGGCTTGTGCGAGGATCGCCACAATCGCCATCTGTCTCAACAGCGTACTTTTCCCTGCCATGTTAGGACCTGTGATAATGGCGAGATGTCTTCCAGAGTCGAGATGTAGCGAATTAGGCGTAAAGTTGCGAGCCGACTGCGCCGATAGCAGGCCAAACTCCACGGTAGGGTGACGTCCGTTCACGAGTTCAAAGGCATCTCTAGGTTGATATGGGTGTAAGCTTATATCAGCTCATAGAGAAGAAACCAAAACTGAAAGACGCACCCGGTATCCATCTCAGGACGGACGAAACGCAACTCATCGGCTACCTGAGCGAATCCAAGGCAGAGATCGATCTCGTCGAGCAACGATGCGTTATGTAGCAGGTCATCTTGCAGCGCCAGAGTCTGTCGAGCGCGATGTCGCAGTCTGTCAGCCTACTGTGGTAGTGCTAACGATAGCTATCGAACTGACCTGTTCGCGTAAGATCTTGAACGCCTCCTTTTGCGCTTCCAGCATCTTGTCCCTGGTTTGGTCGATCGTACTTGCAAGCACAGACCATTTCTGCGAGGGAATATCCTCCAGTCGATGCGGGACGACAGGCGTAACAGCATCTACTCACATTGTATACGAACGTCCGAACTGTCTTTGCTGTGTCATTGAGCACCGCCATCTCGGGATCTTTCCGAATGATCGAGAAATCGGTGTTTCTGCTTCGTTTCGGTACATAGACCAGGCTCGGCAAGTTGTTGAAGCCTGTTTTGAGTTCAAGACCTTCCAGCTCTGTTCGAGATCATAGTTACGCCTCAATACACTTTATCTCTGAAACAGCCTTGCTGACCCCACTTACTATACTTTTCACGCAAACGCGTCTGCATGTCAGCTTTTTCCTGAAGCAGGTCGGTCAGCTTCCGGTGTAGGTCCTGCATTTCCGGACTGAAGCTACAGGGAGCAAATTGCATCAGCCACAAATCATACTGCAGGATAGAGATTAAACTTACTTTGGATCGATCCACCAACTCGACCTGTCATTGTCATTTTCTTGCGAGCTTTGAATATTATTAGCTGGCACTTCGTCGGACTCCTCCTCGCCAGCGATGGGTTCCGTGTCTGGCTGTTCCCCCAAGGTCACGGCGGACTTGTCCAGGACGGAAGCGACGACTGCCCGGTCGATAGAAGCTGCCCACGCTTCTAAATTCCTCATCTCACCGACCAACTGACGAAGTCGTAGGTATGGTCCCGCCGTCGAATCGGCTTCATTGTCAAGCGTCTCCTGAATAGACTGACCCAATCGATCTATCGCCTCGATCCGTTGCTTCAGATCCCATAGATCCCTTCCTCCAGCTAGTGCGCCAGCCAGGCCTGGGGCGGTACTGCCGTTCGCAGAGAACCTCTGAATGATCCTGCTGATTTCTCCGTTTCCAGCGTTGCTCATCTGCTTGAGTTGGTAACGCAGATCCTCACGCAGGTTGCTCCGCTGCAAAAACGCCTCGACCAGGTCGTGCCTCTGTGTAATGATATGCAGATCGGTCGACGGCTGACATAGCGTGTTGACAAGCAACCTCGTTCCGGAAGGTGTCAACGTACGCTTGATAACGCTGAGCAAGGTACCAGCTCGACTAGCCGGCGAAGAGTAGACACCTTTAGCCTGTGCACCGACCGACTGTCGCAGCGACTGTCGGATTTCGAGACCGAGCAAGGTCGAGGCGTCGATCTGCATGAACGAGTCTGCAGACTGATGACTGGCCTCGAGCAATTTCGGCATCTCGCTCAGAAGGCAGTCTTTCAGGTGGGTCTGTATCAAACGTTCCGCTGATGCCTCAAGCTCGGTCGCGCCAACCGAACATCCGGCGGTGTCTACATAAGCAATAGTAGCTCCACTCTGTTGCAGCAAGGGAGCTACCGTTGCGCTTATTTCCTTAATCCCCTGCAGTTCCGTCCCATTGGAAGACTTTGCAGCCCCGATATCCAGATAAGTTTGCATTCCGCGCTGGAGGACAACTTCAACAGGACTGATCCTGGCTAGCTCATGCTCGAGCTCCCCCAGAGTTGAAGTCCGCGTTTGTACCGCTCGATCGGTGGATACATCGATATAAGCCAGCCCGACTGGCGTATCTTCAATCTCTCCATTGGGCTCGTTTTTCCCTAAGGAGAGAGCTAATAGATGCCTCGTCTCGTCGCTGATCTGCCAGGCCTCGCTCAATAAAGTTCCCGGCGTGTATCTTCGAGCCACAAACCGGTCCTTGGAAGTGCCCTCCGATTTGTCCTTCTCCTCAACAACTACAAAGCTGCGTCCGAGCTCGAGCAGCATCTGGAAGAACTTTTCCCGTTGAGATATCGGGAAGCCCGCAAACGGGAATTTGTGCTGCAAGGCCGGAGTTGTCGGTTTGGATGCGGCTTTCGATCTTTTCGTCGGTTTCCCTTCTTGTCTAACCCGGAATGATTTCGATGTCAGGCGTATGTTTAGGAGCGACGCTACTTCAGCTGCTTGCGTAAAGTATGACTGGAGACGGTATACGGGAAAAGTCAGTAAGTCGTCCAGGACCATACAGAGCCTCCATACTCACCTCGTAGAACATCCCGACACGAGTGAGGATGATATCATCAGGATACTTCTGCATGTTTGTGAATATCCCATGAGCTAGAACCGTATCCGGGAACTCTCTGAGATCGATGGCTCGTTGCCATCTGGCTTCCAACTCTCGCTCCGGATCAGCTTGATGTAGAGCATTCTGACCAGTAACTAACATAGCGAGAAGAAATCCTCAGCTAAGCTCGAGATTCTGGTTTATTGAACAAGACTTGCCTGATGAAAACCCATTTGATCTCTTTCCAAAGGGCGGTAATGCCTCTAGAGGTTTCCCGTCCGGTCCTAGAGCAGCACTAGGAAGATCCTCAAGCCGGACCGTTCTTTGTACCGTTCGTTCATCAATTCGTCTTGAATCTGCGATTGAGGCATAGCTAGCCGTCCGTATGCGAGTCGGCCAAGGTCTCTGTACGAACGTGGACCTGGTATTTGTCCAGATCCGTCGGAATGCCATGACGATAGTTGCTACCGAGTCTGAGTCTGCCGGCTATTTTTGCAGGATTTGAGCTCGAGGAAGCACCATTGCAGTCTATCGTCTGCTCGATAATTATACTGGGGCGAATGGTGATTTGATACACCTGTCGATGAGACAAAAGAGACGAAGCAAATACAAAAGTTGAAAAATCCCATCAATCCTCCTCGACGACTGATCGCTCGAGCGCGGAGAAGGCCGAAACACGAAAATGACCCAAGCAACAAGGTACAATAAATGCAATCTGATCGCGATTATATATGTCATCTACAACGTCTCTATGCTAATATGCTAATCAATGTTCACAACCTCGCTTCAATGGCAAGCACTACTGTATTACCGTCACCATGATCGTCCCTGTCCTCCTCGTTCAAAGCCGTCCTGGACCGCTCATCATCCCCATCATCCCCGGGATCACAGGCAATCCCCTCTCGTAAATCCCTTGACCTTCTATCCTCATGCCCATTGCCATGTCTCGATCCGCACTCAGCCCGAGCTCCCTGATGGAGGGCAACCTCGGGAACCGGTCGACGAGCGGCGTCTGTCCTTCTCTCGAAGGGGACGATTCCGACGAGTGACCCGTCGGACGGTACACCTTGACTGGTCGATCTCGATCGAGGGGATCGACGTGATCTGGCTCTCGTGATCGCTTGAGCGCCCGATGGTGTTGTTGATGTTCGATCGGGTGGGCAGCCGAGTATGGCGGAGGCTGGTCCCAAATCGTCCGTCGCATGGGCGGTGGAGCACCCGCTGGGAGAGGCAATGTCGCTCCAGAGGCCATCTCCTCTGTTCCTCTTTGTTTGCGACTCTTCGATGACTCTTTCTCCTCTCCTTCCCCTGAGGCGGGTCGTGACCCGGATCCCGACCTCGAACCCGTCCGACCTTCGGAAGTATGACCCCTATCTTCCCCCGTCATCGGTCTGCTGGAAGAACCCGTCCCCGGTCGATCCCCACTGCCCCTCTTGGGTCCCGGATCAGGCCCAATACTGCTCCACCCTTGAGCATGGTAGACCTTTTCCGGCAAGTCTCTCGGGGCGATAGGGGCGTCGAAGGCCACTCGAGGACCGGACAGCGGATGGGGCACGTCGGCCGAGAACGATTTGCTCGCTTCGTACTCTTCGTTTCGTTGCTTCTGGCGTTGGTTCTGAACATTGATTTCAGGTTAGTGTCAAGCTTTGGGCAAGGTTGAGATTTATCGTCTCCAAACTCACCTGAAACCAGACCTGAACTTGGCGCACAGACAACCCAGTCTGCTCGGCCAACCAAGACCGCCGCTCCGTACTCGGGAAACAAGTCTACCAGAAAAAAACTCCATTGCTATAAACTATCCTGCTCTTTCTCTCTTATAGTTGCGCATGAAACTTGTTCCAAACTCACCTCCCTCCAGACCTTTTTCAACAAGGCCCCCTGTTCCGGATTCAACCTCGTCCTCTTCTTCTGCTTCTTGGGCGACTCTTCCTGCAACTCGTCCTGTTCTTGTCCCTGTACCTGCTCTTGGTCGCGCTCGTGTTGCTCCTCTTTGACGCTGACCAACACCTCGCCCGTTGCCGTGCCCGTACTTGATTGAGGCCTCGAGTTCGACGCCGACCTTGACATCGGCATCGACGTCGACATTGAAGCCGAGTGGTAGTCTTTGCCCGGGCTCATCTTTCCCCTCCGTCTGGTAGAGTCGACCGGGCGTTCTTCTGCCGCCCAATCTGAATTCGAGAACGGCTTGAAGTCCATCCTCTCCGTTCGGTGTGTCGACGGATGTTGCTGCTGCTGATGTATATGATGACGAGGGGGAGGAGAAGGATGATGCGGATGGCGAGGATGATGAGGATGTAAAGGCGGAGAATTCTCCGGCGAAGGCAGACCCGTCATCTGATTGACGGTCGTTTGGTACCTCTCCATCGCATGTACCGGTGCATGTGCCCGGGGCCTTGGTGAAGGAACTCGATCATCATGATCGCAATTGTGATTGTGGTTCAACAACGAGCTCAAGCTCTGACTGCCTGATACGACCCTAGGCGACGACATAGGTTGCATGGATGTCGAAGCAGACGCTTGCGTGGGGGTAACAGAACGTCCCCCCGACCCCGATGCAGGTACTGGTAATTCCAAGTGCAAACTCCTCTCACTCTCCCCTATCGGAGCCGGGAACTCTGAACGTCTCCCCTGATGAGAACTGGGTGGTTCGGGTAAGACCAACCTCCCGGGAAACGAATACGAAGCCAGGCTCGATGTCAAGGTCGACGCTCGAGCTGGTGGTGGGGATGTTGATGCCGAAGATGGTGGTCCGAGTTCGGACCGAGGGTAAGTGGACCGGAACGGAGGATGATCGCCCATGTTTGTTCTTGCAAGTTTTCTAGTCCGGATGGGGACGAAAAGGTCAAGCGTAGAAATAGGTGGATGAGATTCGATAGTCTGGATTGGTGATATCGACGTTGTTAGTCCTTCCTAGCAGTCGGATATCGAGGTCGAAAGTCGGTACTCGGTGTTGGGTATTGTGTGGTTGTGGAGCACTCTATCTCGCGGACCGGATCTCGCTCCGACGTTGTCGTCGGGTTTGGTTTCGATGTCTTTCCGACGACCGGTTCGTATATTTGTATAGGTAAGTGCAAGTTGCCAGTGAGAGGTGGGAGCGGGGAGGACGTTGTCGGTATCTGTCGAGGTTTTAGATGAACGGGAGGAAACACTTGATTCCGAGGTTGATGAGAGGTTGCCAGGAATCAGAGGGTGTTTGGGTGGGGCCGTAGATGAATCGCTAGAGAACTAGAGATCTGGACTGTGATTTATAGCTCTGAGATGCCTGTAGGCCTGTAGAGTGGTATGATATGACGTCTATGCGTCTGTCGCTTCCTTTGTTGATAGGGTAGGTGTTCCTTTGATTCGAGGTCGAGAGGCCAGGGAGTCGATAGTGAAGGGAAGTGTATGTAGCAGTGCGGGTGGTGATAGGTATCTCAAGGACTGAAAGCACGCATTCATGGAATGGGCGATAGGGGAGAAACGGTACCACCGTCTCCTTTCAGCCGGAGCTCGTGCTGTGTTGCATGTGTTGATGGCGTCGATGAAGGGAAGGAGAGAATCGGAGTTGGTGACTGTCCGAGAGCTATACGTCCTGGATGAGAATGGGATGATGTGCGACATGCGTCCCCCGCGCTGCGGTAACTGCACAAGACCCGGCTCGGTCGGTCTCTCTCACCAGAAACAAACAACGCCCGCAAGCCACATCACACGACGTCGGTTCTGGCGAGAGCTACAGTATCCCTTCCCCCCTTCCTCTGACCTCTGACCCCTAACCCCGCCGGTCGGTTCCGCTCTAAATGAAAGAGAGAGGAGAGGGGGAAAGAGCAGTAAAACCACGCGCTCGTGCATGTGAGACATCAAGGGCGAAGCTAGCCAAATGAAGCGCCGGGGGCGATGAAAAGAAACACGGGCAGGGGCAGGGAAGAGCAGCAAGGAAGTCATCACGGATCACGATACGATGTTGCTGGGCGGCCACCGCAAATGAACTTTGAATCGGGCATTACCGTAGGTTTCGTCCTCTCCACGATAGCGCCCGGCAACTTGCCAACAACCCCCTCGCAAGCCAAGCGTCGACACAGCATCTGGTACCTGGCCGTTCCCAGTCGTGTCTCTCAAACGCCCTGCTCTTCATCGGCATAGCAATACGTTCGCAGCTCCAGAGCCGACTCGGACCGTTTCAACAGCGATGTGCCATAGCAAATCGCAAGCACAGCACACATACGACTGAGCTTCAAACCAATTCCAACCTGTTGTGCCATACACCATCGTCTGCGCAGCATACGAATTCAAACCTAAAAGACGACAGTCACCGAAATATCCGCACAAAATTCATTTCCACCGGGCTCGGACCCAAAACGTAGCCCGTTACCCGAACGACGTCGCTATTTTTTCTCTCCCCCCTCTTCCCGAGACCGATCCGTTCAGAGTCCGTCAAAGCCGTCGGGTTTGGCGGGCTGGGCTCAAGGTCATGTTATGACGTCGTGAGAACGTAAACGGACTTGCAGTCTTATCTTGCAAAGATGTAGACCAGACGAACGACGACATGTAGACGCCCGCCTGGGAGCGACTCGGTATATGACACATCTAGCATGCTACGTCTTCTCTCCCTCCATCTCCTGTTCGACCGAGCGTAATAACGCATCCACCGCCCGATCTTGTATCTCCTTCTTCTTCTGCTCTACCGCTTCTTTCCCTCCGAGCATCTGTTTTCGTGGGCCATGTCAACGACCGGGTCGACTTCCAGCCGGTCTGCCAATCAACGCCGAGACTCACCTTCTGCCGCTTGGCTTCGATCAGAGCCCTCCGTTCGTCCAACTTGCGTTTCTTTGCCTCTTGCGCAGCACTCAGTACGGGTGCAGCTGGTTCGCCCGTTCCTCCTCTCGAGTTGCTTCCCGCCCGAGCTTGTTCGGTCTCGCCCCGCTGCTGTTTCAGCTCTTCCATCTGTCGTCTCCTGACTTCCTCATCCTGTGCAAACTGGTAGAAACCTGCTCCTTTCGTCCGGACTGTGGGTGGATGCCGTAAACGGAAAAAGAGATCGTGTAAGCAAGCCCCTTGTGCTCGTAGCTGGTCGTATCGTATTCGTACCTTCTTTCTTGGCGTCGTAATGATCTACCATCGGACCCCCTTCAGCGACTTTGTATCGAGCTTTCAATTCTTCTTGTGTGGGCTCGTAGACTGGGAAGAACGATTGTTCGCCATCTGTGCAAGGCAACACGACACGACACGAAGTCAGTACAGAGAAAGGACGGCAAGGTGGAAGTAGCAGGTCGAAATCGACTTACAGATGACGTTTGATTGCCTGAGGACAGGCAAAGTCACATCGGCGTCAGCTACCGCTAGCCAGTCAATACCTTCACCTCACAAGCCAACTTACAAGACCTCGGCATGAGCCACTCCGACACTTTCATCGCCGCCTGCACCTGTGACCTGATCTTCTCTTTGGCGCTCCTCCCTCTCGTTGCCCCGAGCTCCTCCGCTAGCTTTGGCCGCCTCGGCTTCCCTCGCTTCTCTGCGAGTTCCTTTTCGGGTCCTTCCCATCTCGTCTATGTATTCCACTTCTTCGTTCTACCAACCATGGCGCCCGCTTATGAGATCAGCACCAGTATTATGACCACGTGCCATTATGATCTCGAGCGGATATCAAGTGGTGGTATCACTCACGTCGTTTTCGTGATATTCCGGTTGAGGCGGCAGATGTTTGAGATGGTCCGGTACCAAAGCGCTCTCATCCACATCTGAAGCGTGATCAGACCAATGACCGTATCCTTCTTCTTCCTCTTGTTTCCGATCAAACTGTGTGAATATAGACATCCAGGTCAGCCGGAAAGATCCCCAACTCGACTTCGACAACTCGTCCTTCGAGCACAGGAGACGTGCCTCGAGTAGACCGAAGCTACCAGACTTCAAGTAGTCTCATTCCGACTCACATCGATCGCACTCTCCTTAGATGGAGCCTCTTCTCCCCGCCTCAACTTCTCATACCGCTCAGCTTTGAGCCTCATGATCTCCTGCCTCTCATGCTCCGTGATCCGCTCCTGATCATCGTAGATCCGAGCGCGTTTCGCATCGTTCTCTGCTTGTTGAGCCAAACGTTTTCCGAGATTGGGTGACGGGCGGGAGAACCGGTCTTTCGACTGGAAGAGTTCCAGTGAAAAGTCAAGAAGAAGGACACTCAGCGGACCCACTAACCAGCCTTGCAAACCTCTACCGGAACGCTTACGAGCTCCCCAATCCTGCCCCGTCTCGCTCCAGCTTCCCCCTTGACAGCTTCCCTCCCTTCTTTCTGAAACGTGCTCTGATGTTCCGATACAAGTCCCTTGAGATCAAAGATGGACGACTGGGAGACGTTCCCACCTATGTTCTTCTTGTTCTTGCTCGGCCGAGCGAGGGCGGATGTTGAACTTTCCGCTGTGGGCAGCTTGAACGGTGGGAGAGGCATAGCGAGGTGTGTACTACTTGGGTTTGAGTACGTTTCTGGCTCGAATGGTCAACTTGCTGCAAATCAGGGAACATACTTGAGCTCGCTGAATCAATTAGATTGTTCCAAAGTTCGAGTTGCAACAACCGATCCCTAGGTTGCCGTTCGGTCGACAGCGGATGCAAATGACGAAACATGAGGGCATGCCCATGATCAGGGCAGGAGGTACGACCAAGACTTTAGACTGCAAAGTCCCCTCCTGCCTCGACCGAATACTGGGGTCATGACTAGGCAAGCGGCTCGACTGGACGGACACCCAAGTCGGGATATAAATATGTTCAGTCGCTTGACCCGGATTGATATTGATAAAGAGCTCGTTCGTAAAAGGATACATCATGTTGTTTGTTATCTCTCATTCGTCAATCCCCAGCAAAGAACGCCGTTCTTGGAGCCCGCGACGCTCTTAAGCGTGGGGTCGGATGGCGATCTTCAAAGCCTGCCTCGAGCTCATGCAGTCCAGAGCCTTCTGGAAGTCCTTCAAGTCGAAAACGTTGGTGACCATGCCCTTGACGTTCAACTTGCCGCTGTCCAAGTACTGGATGGCTCGGCCGAAACAGTAGAACTGGGAGAACGATCCGATGATGTTGATCTCGTCGCTGAAGATCTTGGTGGGGGACCAGTGGACACGGGCCTTGTTGGCGTAGACTCCGTAGACCATGAGAGAACCTCCTCGTCGGACAAAGTCGATGGATCGGTCGACGAGCGACTCGACACCGGTGCACTCGATGACGCAGTCGAATCCGTCTACGAAAGGGTCAGAGATCGGGAGGATCAGTCTCTCTGACATCTCGCTCGGCGCGAACAAGCCGCGGGGGCGACTCACGAGGGTAGTCCTCCTTGATCTTCTTCCACTGGGCCTCGGTGTCCTCTCCACCTCCCCTCTTGAGCCTGACGTACTCGTCACCACAGTTCAACTTTTCAGCAATGTCCATCTTCATCCCGTCGTTGGCGGCGATGACGACCTTGGCGGCACCGTTGAGCTTCAAGAGCTGGGCCATGCACAGACCGGTAGGACCGGCACCGAGCAAGAGGACCTCGGCTCCGACCTTGGGCTTGAGCTTGTCGAGACCGTGGATGGCACACGAGGCGGGCTCAAGGAGGGTGGCCTCCTCGTCAGAGATGTTGGAGTACTTGAAGACCTTGGACTGGTTGCTGTGCGACGAGAACGAGGGATGGTAAGCGGACTGATCAAGCAATGACGTTCGTGCGAGAAATACGTACTAGGTAACGAACTCGGCGAATCCACCGTCCATGGCGACACCCTTGGCAGAGAAGTTCTCACAGAACAAAGGCTCTCCTCGCCTAAAACACGAGCACGCACAAACACGTCGATTCATCGATCAGCTCTCAATCCCCTCTCTTTGCTAGCTCAACAACGCCCCATCTGTGGACTCACTTGCAGTAGTGACACATGGTCAAACCCAAGTCCTGACAAGAGTTGCAGACGTCGGCAGCGGCGTGGTCACCGACGTTGAGACCCTTGACGTTCTTTCCGACGGCGTGGATGACACCGACGGCCTCGTGACCGGGGATGAGGGGGAACTTGGACATGAACTCTCCCTCGTGGATGTGCTGGTCGGTTCCGCAGACACCACAGAGGGTGACTACGATATGATGGAGAAGAAAACAGGAAAAAAAAAGAGGGAAATAGGGGTAAGTTGAAGAATTCTTACGAGGAGAGATTTCCAGCCCGGATCGGATCGAATCGGGACTTACCCTTCAAGAGGATCTCATCGTCAGTGATCTTGGGGACCGGGACACGTCGGATCTCGAACTTCTCGGGCTATCAAGGGCGAATCGAACAGCGATGATGGCGGAGGTGATGGTCGTGATGCGCGCAAAGATGAGGCGTTTCGAATAGAAAAGGAACGACCAGGGCGAGCATGCCAAGCGAAGCGAAGTTGTTGATCGTCAGCGTCGATACACTCATGCAGCTTGCATTCGCCGTCGAGATCGAAATCGTCTCGACGACGATCGGGGCTGATTCGACTCACTCCGGTGTAGAAGACAGAGTTCATCTCGGTAGGGTAGTCAGACATTATGAAAAGGTGTTGTGGGGGTGTTTTGGTTGGTTATACGGGAAGGGTGTTCGTGAGAGTTTTGGTTTTTTGTTTTGTGAAGGTGAACGAGTGTAGAGGATGTCGAAAAAGGTAGAGTTGAGTGCTGTCCTCTTTTTGTACGTTTGGGGGAGAGACACTGGGCTGTTGCTTGGATCCGACGATGAGCGACGAGGCTGGGCATCGGGCGACGTAACACACACAGACACACACAACTCTTGGGAAAACTCACACGGGATTCCCCCCTCGCCTCCTCGTCGTGTACCGGGAAATGATCCCGCATTCGTCACCCCCTCGCTTGCCGCTCGACCCTGCAGCCACACGCGTCACGATCATCATCATAGGCTTCATGCGTCGTCCCTTGCCGCGAACAAGGCTAGCGGCAATGGCGATGGGTGCAATGCGGCAACGTCCCCCTCGGTCCCGGAGAATCGCTCGTGGGCTGGCAACTAGCGATCCTAGCGATGCAGAAACGTCAACAACGATCGACCAGTCTAGTCTTCCCAGATCGCCGGCGCCGATTCCAAGATCACCGAACTATCGTCACAGTCCGCCTTCAACCCGCCCGATGGCCCGACAAAGTAAACACCCTCCCGGATCTGCTCAGCTCTGACGGATGCCCCGGTTCCCTAACTTGCCTTGACCTCGGTTGTAGCGAAAACCCTGACCATATGGCGTCGAACACCGCAGTAACACTTCAACATGGGTATTCGAATATGCACCAGAAGACGCACCCCGCACAACAATTACATCCTGCTTCTAATCCCCCTGCTCTTCCCGGCCACGCTCAACCGGCCTTGATGGCAAGGGCAAAACAAGCACATAACAGATGTTCCTACATGTACCATCGCCGGCGTGAAAGAAATTGACATTAGTGATTCGTTTCGGACTCCTCGACGTTCGACTCGCCTGGCAAACACCACAGGAGGAGGCCAAACGGGCGAAGCAATGCATCGTTTACGAAGTTGACTCACGTTCGACCAGAGCTCCTGGATGCACAAATCCGAGACCGCCCAATGTGTTGCCAAGTCCGCCCTGTATAGTCCAAGATATCGCATCATATCAAGCCGCATCGTCAGATGTCATATCGTCGCAGGACGCGCCGATCCAAGAGCGCCATACAAGACGAATCAAGGTGACCAAGGATAAAGACTTCAATCAGCTCTCAGCGTTTCACAGGTCTAGAGCAATAAGACCAGAGTTGAGACGAGAATAAGTGAAGACTTACCGGCCACCTTGTCCGAGATTTTGATTGATCTGGACGATCACCTGCAGCGCGACCAGGCATGAATGGACGATCAGGATCAGCTTCATCGTCTTCACGACCGATAAACGTATCTGCTTGACAGAGAAGAATAGTTGTGCTTCGGCTTACGGCAAACTTCCAACCTTGAGGGTTCAACTCGTTCATCCGAGCTTTAATGCGCTGCCAACGATGGTCGAGTGAGGCGTGTCCGAGGAGTTCAAAGGATATGGATAGAGGTGGGAGGTTTCCGTTCGGGAGGGGTTGACATGACGTTCGGTTGAAGATAACCATGGGGAGTGGCGTAGAGAAGTAATAGATCGATCACAGTCGAAAGGCAAGATAAGACGAGATCAGCCTACTCTTACAAGGCTAGTGTAGGGTTTCCGATCGGAAGGAGCCCGGACAAGTACTGCCGCCAGAGACTCACCATACTGAGTTCCTTCCCATGTTCCCTCATCTTCTCCTTGTCAAATTCGACATCTACTCAGTCCGGAACCCACCATCGGTTTGTGTATGTTCGTTCATCAGTTCGAGCTTGGTTTGCTTCATGGGGGATAGGATGTTCACTTTTTAGATTCGTCTCGAAGAGCTGTACCGGAAGGAGGAAGATTCGAACGATCAGCTCGTTCAATAATTTTACAATACCTAGGCTACTTTCAACGCAGTCTCCGACTGACCTTGCGTATATAACCTCTCAAAGCATCTCCGTCAAACCTGTTCGACGGCGTAACATGTCGGTCCAGCAAGAGTTCAGTTTCGACCGTAGGTATGTTCGAGCTCTCGGTCGACAGCGCTGGCTCACGAGGTCGGAACGGTGCTGGATGTTGCTGATCGAGGAGTGGACGGTCTAGGATCCATCTCTAATCAGACTAATGAGGAGGTTGCAAATGTGATGGGTCGGTCAAGCAGGGCCGGGCTACCAATAGACAATGCAAAGGTTGCGCAACTAGCACAACTTCCCTTTCGACATGATCAACAAACAACTTGCTCCCCTGCTACCTGACATCTTTCCCCTTCACTCCCGGTTCGTCATCACAAAAGTCAAAAGGGCATGCTAACCCGAAATGAAACATCATATAGCATACAACACGCACTCTTGCCACCTCACATACTACCAGGATCCTAGTCTACAGCACGCCTGATCTGGAATATGCCACCAGCAAAGGGAGGAAACTCGAAAAAGGAGGCCGGAAGGGCCAAGAAGGAGGAGAACGAGGTGAGTACCGTGGCGATCCCTACTCTAACATCATTCACCCTTGCGCAGGAACTCAGGAACTTATCAATCTCCCAAAATCCCCGTCCTGCCATCAAACTGTAGAATAAGAAGAAGTCCGCCGCCTCCGCCAAAGCTGAAGCTGCTGAAGCTGAAGAATGGTCAAAGGGAGCCAAAGACGGTTCCAAAGCCGACAAGGCTAAAGAAAAGGCAGCCGAGGCTGAACGCAAGAAGGCGGAAAAGGCACGATTACTTGCCGAAGAGGAAGCCAGCCTACCTTCAAAGCCGGTAGCCAAGGGAGGAGCGAAGAAGTCTGGGGACAAGAAGAAGGACGTGCGACCTGCTGGACCGGGAGCGATTGCCGCGGGAGGTGGATTGGGAGGTTCAGCGACCGGCAGCGGGAGCTCGACACCGGACGTCAAGAAGACGGGCTTTGAGCCTGAGCCGGAGATTCATATCAAGGCGACCGGATTGGACAACATGTTGGAAGCGCTGGAGATCGTCAATGCCAAGGGAGACAAGGCGAACATCGGAGCTCAAGCTGGTCTGATCGAGAAACACCCGGAGGTAAGTGCTCCCCTTGCATGTGGCACAGACTCTCTCGGTGCCGGCGCTGATCTTTTCTTCCCTCTGTCATCGTTTTCGCCCCCAAAACGATCCTCTCACCACATAGCGACGTTTCAAAGCGGCCTTCGAAGCCTACCTCGAGAGAGAGATGCCGGAACTCAAGAAATCCCACCCTGGGCTGCGGAAGCAGCAGATGCACGATATGCTTTACAAGCAGTTCCAGAAGGCTCCCGAGAACCCGTAAGTCCCCTCGCTTTTCTCGTTTCGAGACTTTTGAAGGTGGTGTCATTGACTCGCGCCAATACTCTGACGTGTTTGCAGATTCAACCAAGTCTCAGTGGCTTACAACGCTACCAAGGACGAAAAGGTCTCTGCGCTCAAAGAGTCTCGGGCGGAGAGGGAACGAGCGTTCGCAGGATCGCCTGCTACGTAACGTAGCCGAATTTCATCAAGCGGAGGGACGGTCGGATACAGTAGCGTGAGGGGACGTAAATAACATGCTCGCGTGCGGGGTGGGATTGCGAATCATATAAATAATTGCATATTGAGGAGAGTTCTGGGGAGATCGTTCACAATGGCTAGGAAGGCCTCGGTTTCTAAAGATGACATCATTAACCGGGAATTGATTTAGCTTGGTGAACACTCCTGCGAGCACCAGGGGTCGAGTCTCTCGCTGTTGAGGTTGAAACCGAGGCTGAGGTGGCGGTGGGTTCTGGACCTGGTAAGGATTGAAAGTCGAAGAGCCGGCAGCTACATTTGGCGCGACAAAGGTTTAGGAGTCGGCGGTACTCCAAGGCGAGGTCCTGACAGTGTTCTTGATCTCGTTTGTGGTCGCTTTCAGTTTGGTGGTAATTGACTGCCGAGCGGGAACCTGAGCGGGAGGAGTGGGAGGAGACCGCCTGAAGAGAAGATCCCTGAACGGCAATGGGATACTTCTCGCAGAAGGCTGCTTGGGTGGCTGCTTGGGCGGGATGACAGTAACTTCTTCTTCCTAGATCACAGTCACTCCTCCTTCACCCCGATCATCTTTTGCAAGAGATCAGATCGCACGATCGCCTACAGGCACTCTGGGATCCATCCGTCTATCACCTGTCTGATATTTGTACAATTTATGGTATATCACACAAATATCGACCGTGTATGACATCAAATATTACACGTCAGATACGCGTCTGATTGTCGGCGTTTCATCATAATATTTGATAGCCGATATTAGCTGAGAATATCACATGCGTGATTCACGTGTGATACACGCACCGATACATGGTAGATACACGTATGATACTGGCTGTGATATTATATTGATACACGGCTCATATGACGTGTCAAGGTCGGCGGTATAAATGATCAATCGGAAGCATACATCGAGCCCGATCGGGATACAAAGTACAAAGTACACAAACCGAAAGATCCGGATTCTACTGCTGATAACGAACTCAGAACTCACCGGTCAGGGTTGATCTCGCAAGGCCGCTACGCTGCGGGAGAGGGACAACGTAATAAACATATAATCAGCCTGTGAAACCATCTTAATCCCGTCTCGATATCCCCTCTACCCCGAAGAAAGGAACCGTGGAACGAAGTCAAAACAACATGTCGAGGCCGACTCGGCCTTTGGCAACGCCAACACCCAGGACTTCCTCCACCTCACAAGACCAAGGGGGTTTGGACTCACCGTTTCAGTATACCCCACGGCAATCCACTCCACGACAGACTGCCACTTCCCGTCCTTTATCGTCAACCTCTAGCTCTAGTCAATCTCTATCTACTCCTGCGCAAAAGATCGTTTCCGGAACACCTCGGAATGTAGCGATGTTGAGACAGACCGATAGGAGTGATGGGGAAGGTTACAGGTCGGACAGAAGCAGCAGAGAAGGATCGACATCAGGTTCGGGTACGGACGAGGTTTTTGGAGCGGGAGGAGTTAGAGGAAGGGGATTTGTCGGGACGAACGCAAGAAAGACTCTCAGCGGACCTGGAACACACAGCTTCGTCGCCCCATGGAAGGCTCCTGCACCAACTCACCAGACCCCGACACCCTCATCTTCACAAGCCGCCAAAGATGTCACACCTCGTCCTGCCCAATCGGCTTCTATGGCTGGTCAACAGCAACGCCAACTCGGTGTTACGGGCGTCCTCGAAAATCGTCTAAGGGGTTGCTTCCGCGTATTTACTTCCGTCGCGACTACGTGGCGAGTCACAGGTTTCTAGATGCAAGCGAAGTCGGATCACGTGACTACGATGTCTCACGGTCTTTCTCGAGTTCGTGTGAAGTCGCGACACTGTACTAACGATAGCGAGTTCGTCGGTGATAGTGTAACCTCTCCTAGTACGTCTCCGTAGTATAACTAAGGTATAGGCGTATGTCGAATGTAATAACTGCGCTTGAATCGTATAGAAGTACAACAGACTCGCACGACTTCTCTACGATTCGCGCTCCGTTATATGCTAACTACGTACTCGCGTTGCTCGCACCGAATCCGCTATTGTTTACCGAGTTCGCCCGACTTCGTGCTTGTCTTCTTTGTTCGAGAACAAAAGGCTGTCGTCCGTCGGTCACTCTTTCAGGCGAACAATAGACGGTCGAACACACGAAGTCGCGGTTTTCTTTTGTTGACTTCGTGCGGATCCGCTGGGTGTCGCCCGATCCGGGCCGATGACCTAGATGCGCGTCGATCCCATGCTGCCGTTCGGTCACGCCCTGTGACATCATCCCCCCCTCTATGTTGGACGTCGTCCCGACGTCCCGGTGGCCCTTGTTTCGAGGGTGATTGTCGGTTAGGATGTTTGAGGTGTCCGCAGTCCTCGACCGGCTCCGGGGTTTGTCGTACGAACCCTCCCCTGTACGATATGCCTTGTCGTCAAGTCGTCCGTACCTTCCTTTGATGGGTTCTGGAAATGGCGTAGACTTCGTGCGTAACCGAGTCCATCCTGAAACGTACGACCGATGTCTCACTCGGTCGTCCAGATATCCCGCTTCTGTTCCCGCGTGAGGGTCCTTTGGCGCTAAACGAGCGGAACCAAAGTCGCGTAACCGATATCCTCTTGAAACGCGCGACCAATGTCTCACTCGCGCCTCTCCTCGTCCTGCCGTCGTCGTCCGCGCGCTAAAGGCCGTTGTGGTGACAGGAATCTATCGGCCCCGACGGTCGCCTACTTCCTACATCCGCGGTTCGCTCTCGACTACCTCGACCTCGCCGCTGTTGGTCACGGTGGATTACTAGACGGCAGCTGACGGTGGATTAGAAGGTTTCATCGGACGACGGGAGACGGGATACACGTGTATAGGTCGAGGCATACGGGCAGAGGAGAAGCGGAAGACGCACGGCCCGGAGTATAGACCGTTCCGGTACTTTACTCGGTCGCGCTGGCGTAAGCGTACGCTAGACACGTATAAAGGTCCCCACCTCGATATTCGATTCCCCTCTTTTCCATCGCCGTTTCACCGTTGTAGGAGAAGCAAGCAGTAGAGAGACCAGTAGTGGACGTTTATTCATAGCTTTTATCCCACATTCCACTTTCGGTATACACCTACCGTTCGACCTCGCTGATTCGCCGCTTCGCGTTTCACGTTTACTTCCCATCACCCGCTTAGACGACGGATCTATAGCTGGCTTCCGGACAAGGTTAAGTAGATCGGCGTCAGAGTACGGCCCTTGCTAGCTTGCCACCCCGAGAGGTTTCGAGTTTATACGACTTCGCCGTATCGCGTTTGATCGGAGATATCACCTTTTACCCTCGAACGTCACGTGACCTGAATCACGTAACGTTTACACGACTTTACCTACCACCCACCCCTCTATAGTCTACCGGGAACAGCACTTGCCTACCTAGACATCCCTTACCACTCCTAGGCTTAGCAACCCTATCCACCTACCTACCTTACCGCCAACTCAGACGAGTTGTTGTTTGACGTCGTCATCGACGTTTGATCCCGAAGACCGGGATTGACCCTACAAAACTGGCGACACCAGTGTGATTGTTTAGCCCGAACTAGCCGAGGGTAGCATCACAGGGGGACATTCATTAAGACCGACACGTACGACGAGATTCGTATATCGACAAGCACGACGTGGATTCGTGTACCGACAAGCACGACGTGGATTCGTGTACCGACAGATTACCGTTGAGCTATACCACATCGTACCCTTCAGTCATTAGATAAGGACTATCCAATATCATGACTCCCAAACCTGAGACTCCCAATCCCGAGGGTTCCCCTCTTCCGGAGGGAAGGAGCAAGAGATCTATCCCCAGTGTCGGGAAGGATGGTGCTCCGTTCATGTTTTCGGGTACCGAAGTCGAAGACATCGAGGAGTGGATGGAAGACTTTGAGACGTTCGCCCAAGAGTACGAAATTTCGGAGAGTAACAGGTGCAATGAGGTGACTCGGTACACTTCCCATTCTGTTAAAGATGCAATTCGGGCGATGCCGGGGTATGCTGAGAAGGTTTGGACGACGTTGAAAGATGAGATTATTGTGTCGTACCGTAACACAGTTTCCGGACTGGCGGCCACGATCGAGCAACTAGAATATCTCGCTAAGTCTACGGGAGAGAGGGGAATCAAGGCACCGAAAGAATGGGAAGCTTACTTACGAGATTTCAGAGTTATTTCTAACAAGCTGAAGAAGAAGGGTCTCCTGGATGCAGACAGGGAAGCGTCCATCTTTCACAAGGGACTACCTAGTTCGGTTAGGGACCAACTCGAGAACAAGTATATGATGACGAGCAAGGTACGGGACACAAGCAAAGCTCCCCCCATCGCTGAACAGGTGCAGGTCGGCAGGGACCTATTCAACATGAACCGGTTCGACGCCAGGGAACGGTACGAGATTAGCGACGAGCAGATTGATGAAGAAAGGCGACGACAGGAAGGGTTTCACCAGTTGGTCGACGTAGTACGCGCCAAAGGCAGGAAGATCACTGGTACTACCGAAGGTATCGACCTGGGCGGAAAGCCGTCGTGGCTGGCACCGGGAATCGTTCCGGCCGAGCGATGGACGGACAGGCAAGGGGAGCGGACGATGAACCAGAACCGTATCCGTGACGCGCCACCTCATCAGCCAATTCGATCGGATACGGACAAAGATCTGGACTTGGTTATCGGGAAGCTCAAGCAGCTCAACGTGGGATCTGCTCAATACTACAATGCGTACGTGACAGCCGTTCAAGAAGGATACGCGATTCAAGGACGGGTCCAACCCCCTATCTGGGCTTCGGAAAACGCTCCGCCTGCGGCGAGAGGAATGGGTCTACCTCGTGGAGTGGGTTTCCAGGGGATCTGCTTCTATTGCGGCAATGGAGGTCACAGAGTAAACGAGTGCGAGACCGCAGGTCTCCATATCAACAAAGGCTGGGTCCGCCGAGACAACGGAGGAAGAATCGTATGGCCTACTGGTGAATTTATCCATTGCCCGCCTGGGCAACGACGGTCGGTTCTAGCAGCGGATCGACAAGGACGGATGGGAGCAGGTGCGCCTAGGGCCGCTGGCGTTCACGCTTTGGAAGTGATGGAGGGATATTCCCGAAACGATCAGAGTTATGCTGGCCCCATCAGCGGTGCCTACGAGGAGACCTATTTGGTTAACGGGTACTACCCAACGACTTTTGAAGCGCGCCAGACCATGTATCCTTCGCACCCGGACTATAGCCACGCGGCTAATATTCGGAACAAGGTTCCCCAAGGCCGACCTGATGGTTTTCGACCTGGTCCCGCGGGAGGAAAGGACCAAAGTTTCCGAGACAAAACGACTCGATTCAATGCCCCGCCTGCAGGGCGAGGAACGTCCTCAAACCAGATTCCTCTTCCACGTGAGCAGCCGCGGTTTCCAACTATGAAACCTGAGGTCTACCCTCGACAGCCGGGAATGGAGGTCAGCGACCGGAAGTTTATCCCTGACCAAGACGTGGACATGAAGGATGGTCGGAAGCCGGCTACTAGAAACAAGCCGAGCGGAGATGAGCCCCGGCTCACGCGTACGACTGACTTTGCTAGGGAGCTGAATCCCGAACAGATTATACAGCGCCTGCTGAATCAAAGGCATACGATTGAACTGTCCACGAAAGAGCTGTTCGCTATCTCTGGAGTAGCGACCGGTATTGTCAACAAGGGGACCCGTTCTCATTTGGGACCTGCGGCGGGGAAGCAGGTGAGCTTCGGTGACGCTACCCACTATGTAGCCGAACATAGCTACGGTGAGGAAGACGCGGAAGAGGCCGAATGGTATGAGGTCAACAAATCCGACGAAACATACGCCCCAGAGAGGAAGCCGCCACCTGGAAGAACTCGCGCCCTTATCAAGATTCCTGCCGTGCTCGGAGGAATCAGCGTCACGGCTATGCTAGACACCGGCAGCGAAATCGACATGTGTTCCCGGAGGTTATACGAAGCTATGGCTAATCCGCCGCCCTTGCGGACTGATTTGAGGCTGCTTATGTCTGGAGTCAACGGACCCCCGAAACACATCGACGGCATCATGCAACAAGTCGAATTGCGCATTGGAGATCTGAAGTTCCCGACGGACGTCCATGTCAATGAGGACGGGCCGGACTATATCATCTTAGGACAGCCTTTCCTGAACAGAGCTAGGTTCTCCCATGGCTGGGATGGCGACAGGCCGGTGGTCCGACTGTCTTCGGAGGACGGAGACCTGGAATTCTCTTACAAGACGGTCAAGAATGGAGAGCTGGCAAGCGCACCGACGACCGGGGCCGCTCCCAGACCGAGGCGAAGGACTGACTCGGACCGCTTCGGACATGAAGACAAAGTCGGTCACGCCGGGAATGGAGGTTCTTGTACCTGTTCGACAGCGGATTTTTGAACGCAGGCGAGCGTGTATTCACAGCATACAAGCCCGTCGCAAAGAAGAAGAGAGCTGTGGGGGCGACTGTGCCGCCCGAATCGTTGACCGTAGGACAGTTTCGAAGGCCGGAGGGGTTGCTGGACGACCTACCGGACCTACCTGTACAAGTATCGTGTTTCAGTTTTGGAGAACGATTGACTGAGGATCGCTGGAAGTCTATGGTTGAGGAGAGTATCCTCAACGAAGAAGAAGCCAAGTTGGCCAACTGGGTCGTTATGACCAATGAAAAGACGTTTTCATGGACGGATGCCGAGAGAGGCCAGTTCAAACCGGAGTATATACCTCCATACAAGATACCGACTATTGCGCATACGCCATGGAGGGACAGGGCGATTCCGATACCCCC